GGGGCATCACTGCAAAGGGGGATGTCTCACAGCCACAGCCATGATCTGGCTGCCTCCGGTTCTCCATGCTCATCCCTCCACAGATGATAAAGACAACTATTGTTCTAGCCTTCTGCCACTTCCTCTCTCAGGTTTGCCATGGGTTGGAATCAGCTGGCTGGTTCCACACTTGCTCTTTGTGTTGGGAGATCCCTGTTTTGCCTTGATGCTGCTTGCAGATGGAGTGAGATTGGCTGTGCCTTTGAGTGCTGGGCTGGCGAGCTCCCAGGACCTTCTGCCCTCTACAGTGCCCTTCCTCTGCCCCCTTTCCTTTCAGAGTGAGGGGGCAGGCAAGGCTGGATGAGAAGACAGGGGTTGCCCTCATGCAGCTGGTTAAAAATCAAAGCCGCCATTAATCCTCTCCCCTGGTTTTCTGTTTAGTAACATATAAGCACCGAGAATACAAAACCTCAGAGCTAGCACAAGCTCATGAGCTTGGTGTTTCTGCTTGGGAAAGACAGCATTGAAGAGTCTATTGGTCAGCAGATAGCACTGGCCCCGTTAGATAGGCTCAGTTCTGCAGGGAAGCTTAATCAGCTTAGACCCTTAAATATGTGTCTGGTGACAGTTATTTTTTGGTCTCTGAAATGAAGCTGGGGCAGAGGAGATGGTCAGCATTTTGTCAGCAAGGATTTGTGTCATTCATATATGAATGACAGAGTCTGACGCTTGTAGGGACAATCATGTCTTTGGGTTTTTTTGGACTATGTCTTTCAGGAAGACACTAGCATGGGTGTTGGCATGGATGGTTTCTTTTGCGAAGTAAGAGCCTGTACCGCTATCTACCTTTTCCCCCGCAGCCTGGCTGAAATGGGTTCTGATGTAGCTTTCAGATCAAATCATTTAAAATTGACATTTGCCATTGCTAAACTTTTCATCTAGCATAAGGGAGAGTGTCTGTTTAGTGAAGTGGAACAAAACAAGTAAGCATATGATAGCATCTCTGCTTTGAAAAATCTGGGAGATTTTATACATCAGACTAAATTCAAGTTGTTTCAGTGCAATTAACATGCAAGTTTGACACTTTATTTTTTTCCTTGGGGCATGAAATGGCAGGACAAAGAAAATACGATTGAAAGGGTTTTACATTCATGTCCATCATAGCATATGTCAAGTGTCTTAGTGGCTTTAACAAATAAGAGGCAGAGTTGGAAGGGCGATAGTCTTCAATTAGACATGTATATAAATACTATAGAGAAGAATGAGCAGGCTTCTGGCTAGGACCTCTGCACTTGTGTAAAAGAGATGTTTTTGCTTCTGGTCTTCTTTCAGACCTCCAGGGGACTTGTGTGTCTGAAAATATGTTCATTTTTTCTAACAGGTTTGGGTATGCTGAAAGGGAATATTACCTCCCTGCAAGCCATGTCTTGCTGATATCCCTGGACCCTTGCATCTACAACAGTGCTACTACTTTAACTGATAATGCATATCTCTTGTTTCTGCTCTCTTATGTTGTTGTAGATGAGAAACCGCGGTAAGTGAGGTCTGTGTGATAGCCTTTGAAATGAACCCAGTGCTCAGAATGCACAGGCACTCTCCAATTGTATCTAATCCCCACAATCTTACACAAAAGTCGTGGACATTTTGTCACTTGAAGTTTAGCTCCTCTGTGCATTTATCATAGAAAAACATTAACTGCTTTAGAAATCATGGTCAGGATCAGGTCACAGCCAGGTCATAGTTTTCTTTGTGTGGTGTTTGTACAGCTTACATGATGATGACTATGGGGGTTATGGCAACTGCAAGGGGAAAAGGCAGAAGTTCAGAAGAGACTGCCGTGCCCTTACAATGTGTCTCAGCCCTGGGGGAGGCAGGGCAAAGGATTTGCTCTCGCTGAGCAGCAATGAACCTGTTGTCAGGGCACTGCCAGTCCCATTGGCTTGGCAGAGAGGCTGGTACAGGATGTGAGCAGTTTGTGGCTGTACTGTGAAGCTGTGCTGTGCCTCTGTCTTGGGAGATGTTTGAGATGAGTTTAATGTGGATGGGGGTGGGATAAGGCACAGGGGTTTTTGTTTTGTTTTATTTTTCTCTGGAAGCTTGTGTTATAGAGCTGCCACAAACTTCTTGTTCCTTTTAATGTTTACATAAGTGTTGAAAGAGGAAGCTGCCACAGAGGGACTAACCTATTGGCTTAAGGTTGTGCAGGAAATCTGTGGCAGAGCTGGGAATTAAATCCACAGTGCTTGACTCTTCATCTTATTCCATGGCAGTCCCACATCCTTTGTTTGCTTGGCAGCTGGAGATGGTTTCCAGTTGCTTGTGAGTGTGATGTGGACTTGCACTTGATGTGCTTTTCTGTGCTACAGCAGTGTTGTGCTGAGGCCGAAAAGCTCCAGCATAAACCATATTTTTTCCCCAGGATGGTGCACTCCTTAGTCAGAGCTTTTTTTGTTTGCACATCCCTTAATTGTTACAGGAACATTCTGCTGTCCTTAATCATATCCCTGCAATTTGACCTGCATTTCCTATCAGTATTATATAGAGTTGTTTGATTTTCTAATTCCTTGAGTCTGGTTTTCCAGATGTTCCTTCTGCATGCCGAAGTCACAACTGCTGTACTCCCCCTCTTTCCTCCCTCTCCCTTCATTTTTAGGGCTCAGGGAGCTGCTTGTAATATATTCATATATTCTTATTTTTGGTTATACAGCCTTGTTCACAAGTGATCCCAGCATTGTAGTTTTTAACTCAAATTTGTTATATTACAAGGAGAAGCTAGGGTGGTGGAAGTGAATCTTTTCAGCAGTAGGACACAAAATTAATACATCCAAAATGGATCTTGGGCTGTCCAACTCTGAACTTGGCAATTTATGGGGGGGTTTTAAAATTGTTAATTATGAAATATTTTCCTTTTTCACCTTATTTTTGTTAGCATATAATAACTACACCTGCAAGTTGCCCTTGAGGACAACTCTAGTGGGTCCTCAAGACCCCCAGTGTGGTACTCTGGCTATGCAATGTATGGGGAATGTTGGATGTTTTGCAGTGGGATCCGCAGTCTGTGATTGACAGTGGGATCACAGAACCCACTTGAGTCCACAGGAACCATGTGGGCAGAAGATGGATTTCCTCTCTTCTCCTTGTCCTGAGTTGTTCCTGTGGTCAGGTGTCCCCCTCACCGAGATGGGGACACTTAGCTGAATATCGAAGTAGCAGTCCACCTCCTTTTCCAAGTTGTAAGGAGATAGAGAGATGGTGGAGGCATGCCCACGTATGAGTCAGATAACAGAGTAAGGATTCATATCCACACCTGGAAAACTTCAGGGGAGACATAGCAGTGTGTTCCTCCATCCCATTGCTCAGAAAGTTTACAGTCCTACTAGTGACTGGTAAAGTCATGGTCCTGCCTGGGCTGAACACAGAGGCCTGGTAGGAGACAGCAGACACTGTATCCCATGGGGTTTGGCACTTTGAGATCTCTTACTATTCCAGGCATGTAGCCTGCCAACACAACCGATTCCTGAATTACTAATGTTAGTGTCATGGTTGATGTCACTGGAGTGCCCAAGAGCAACAGTGGGCCTGGAAAAGCCCCATCACTTGGGTGCCGTACAAATGGAGCAGTGTCAGATGTGAGTCTGAGAAAAGATGAAGAGAGAGCAGATGGACACATGCTGTGGGGATTAGTGCACTGGATTACGAGTTGTTGCTTAAACTCTCAGATTTCTGTCGCTTAATTATTCCTCCAAAAAGAAGGTACAAAGTCATTCTCATCTTTGTAAACACCATTTTAATTCTTTTTTTAAAGACAGACTGCTATTTAGGTGCATAACGCAAAGCAAATATAGTAGTCATTGCATTTACAACCTGTTGTCCTTACACTGCTGTAGTTTTCTTGGCAGTGTAGAAGGCAAGAGGAAAAAAAGCCCTTTACATTGTGGCAATTCTTTGCACAAGGCATTAATTCCATTTGTAAATTATTCTGCTGAGAATTCATAGGCTGCGTACAAGGAACCATAGCAAAGTCATGTTGAAAGATGAGTGATAGTTCACCACAGTGTGCTTGTTCCCTCTTCTCCATTTTTTCCCCAGCTCCAGTACATAATGTATTTCTTGTGCTTCTGGAGAGAGTAATGCCCTGCTGTGTTGTTTACCACCTTTAAAAACTTTCCAACAACTTGCTAGATAGTCCTTATAATAAGTGTTGCAAAATTTTGAACTCCTAACCTGAATGGGTAGGATGAGAGCTGGGGGAAAGAGTAGGTAAGAGTCATAAATGTTCCACAAAAATGTGAAATTATGTTTTTCTAATCCTTCTGGCAGTTATTTTTTGTGGCGTGCTTGTTTATATGTTCAGCCATGTGATTTTGTGCAGGGGATTAGTGGACTTCATGTGGAAAACTTCTGATTGTGGTGGAAAAACAGGTGCTGGTGGGCTGTCTATTGGATTCAGCATTGATAAATCTTCAGCTGAGGGAGATGGGGAGAGAACCAAGGGCTCCCTTCAAAACCCAGACCACAAACAAAGTTATTAGACTCCACAGGTGGTCTACCATCCTTTGCTTCCTACTCTGTGGTGGATTTGACAGGAAGAGGAGCAGTTACCTGACCTGGTCTTAATCCAGTATATACCTTAAGAACAACTAAAGCTGTGAGATGAGTGAATTAAGTCTGGAGTGGATAACCTCATCCCAACTAATTATCTGATTGTTTTTCTTGAACGTCTGTTGTTATCTGTGTGGATAGGGAAATTCAACTTCTGAATGGAGCTGCAGAGTGTGTTTTTGCATGCAAGTGGTGTTGGTTTTTGAGAAATGTTCCCCCCCAGCTCAAGCACGGCTATTACATGTCCAGTCCAGCTGTGCAATACTGGGCTGTGCATCAGAGGGACATGAAGCGATCTGTATTTATAGGACTATTGAGCCAACATTCATGAGGGGAAGGGGTTGTGGCTGCAGAACCTGTCAGCATTTACACACAACACAGTAATGTGAGGGGTTGGACAGATCCATCCTCATGTAGTAGGTCAGTTATATTAATCTTTGCACTGCAACCTCCAATGGGTCCCTTTTACTCTTCAAACCTGTTGGCGATAGCCTACACTTGACCTTCTCACACTCTTGGGCCCTAGGGTTGGGTGCTTAGGTGGGTTTGGGAAGGAGGAGAAGCCCAATGCCTGTCTGCAGTACTTTACAGGCTGGTTTTGTCTGGGTAGTTTGGAGCCTATGCTTACCCTGTGTGTCATTATTTGGCTGTCTAAATACCTCCAGGAGGAAAGTGGAGGGAGCATTTCATCAAGCCAGGCTGGCTCGGTGTTTCCTAAGGGGCGAGTAAATGAGTTTGTTGTCTGTGTAGCTCTGGACCCTTGGAATGAAGCCACTCCTTGTCGCAGCTGAGAGCATGTCTGTCTGCGTCATACCAGGTGTTGGGAGCTGAGGCCAGGCCATCAGCAGCATGGCCCCTAGTTCTGGTGAAGGAGGGCTGCCCCATAGTGTGATGAGGGGCTGCTTTGGTGTTTGCTGCATGGTGGGGGCTGTATGACCTTCTCAGGACTGTGCTCCTCGAGGGGGTGGGCAGTGGGGCCGACCCAGTCCAGCCACATGTGCACCTCCCTGGCAGGCCCCAGGCTGAGGCCTTGCTGGCTGCAGGCGTGGAGTGGTACCATTGAAGGTTATCCAGATCTTCTCCTTTCTCAACCTTCCTTGACTTGTCTGTGAAGCTACTGCCAGATTAGATATGCACCATATTGCACTTCTCCTGTTTTATGTAGCTCATGTGATTTTTCTCTTGGAAGTGCCCTACAGTCTGTGGGAAGCAGCAGAGAAGTTTTCCAAAGACAGCCCCATGAAGAACCTGCATGGTCATATATGAGACCTTCTTAGAGGTCTTTGCCCTCTGCCTTCTCAGGTGCCAAAGTTCCTGGCTCTGATCTGAAGGGTTTGCAAATCAGAGGTCTTCTTGCCTCTACCCTGCTGTCAGGCACCTCTTCATCCAGAGCAAAGGATTTTTCCATCTTTTGTTCCTGTCCAGCCACTGTTGGCTGGGACCTGTGCTTCTGAGACCTTGGACTTTCACTCTTCTCATTTGAGCTGCTGTATCAGAGCTCAGGCTCACACCTCCACTTTGAGGGACAAGATTTGAAATTAAAACTTTTTTTTTCTGGCAATTTTTATTTCTAGGGTGGTTGTTTATGTGTTTAGTCATTGAAGCATATATGCAGTGTTAGTGAAACTCATGTGGAAAATTTCTGGTGACACTGGAAAAATGACTGCCAGTTGAGTTTAGCACTGATAAATAAATTCTAATTTGAAGGAGATGGTTAGAAAATGAAGGCTCCTTCCAGACCACAAACAAAGTGATTAGACTCCACAGGTGGTCTACCATCCTTTGCTTCCTACTCTGTGATGGATTTGTCAGGACAAGGAGCAGTTACCTGACCTGGTCTTAATCCAGTATATACCTTAAGAACAACTAAAGCTGTGAGATGAGTGAATTAAGTCTGGAGTGGATAACCTCATCCCAACTAATTATCCGATTGTTTTTCTTGAACGTCTGTTGTTATCTGTGTGGGTAGGGAAATTCAACCTCTGAATGGAGCTGCAGAGTGTGTTTTTGCATGCAAATAGTATTTTCATTGGCAAGACTCTACTACCATACACGGATGTTGTACAGTCTTGTACAACTGGGTGACATGAGTTAACAGCATAGTTACTGCAGGCTAAGGATTACTTGTAGGACCAAAGAGCTACTCTGAAAGGGGAAGGGTTTGTTCCTGCAAGATCACCTCTACGTTTACATATGTTCTTCTGGTGTACAAGTAGGTCCATAAAAGTAAGAATTTGTCTGTTTTTTTGGTGTGAATTCCATTTTGAAGGTTCACTAATACTTTTCACATCACGGGTGTGCTAACTCAGCAACCCCCTGCTTGGTTTATCTTAACAGTGGAGCGAGAGAACCCTAAATGTCCTCCTTTCTCCATGTGGTCAGTTGGGAAGTGGTTGGGAATTGTGAATTAGAGCTACTAATTTTACAGAGCTTTATTTTGTGAGAACTTTTAAAACTTTGTGTTATGGCATGTTCAGTGAAAAAGAAGCTAAACGGTCATTTCGAGCAGGTTTCGTGACTGGGAGATTGATGCTGCAGTGAAACTAATTTGGTAGTATTGGGATAGAAGCTTAAATATTTTGCATGAATTTTTTTTTTAATGTAAGAAATGGTGAATTGGAACTTCAGGTAAAGAAATAAGCAAGTATGGAAAGCATGTACTGATGCCTTCATTAAACTGGATACTGCTAACCTGAGTGGAGCTTCTGGATACATGAGAAAGCAGTTATAAAAAGATCACTGTTGAGTAAGGAGACTATAGTTCTTGGCAACATACTGAATAAATGACAAAGAATGATTAAAAGTGCTGCCATGTAGAATCAGGCTCATATGTTCTTGAATATAATTTTTAAATAGCTTGGGTCTGTTGTCATTCAGAAGCCAAAACATTGCAGAAAGTGGTGCATCTGAAACTTTAGTTTCAAAAGGTTTTTTAGAGGCTGGTTTCCACCTGCAGTGGTTATTTTCTCTGTGTACCAAAGGTCTTACTAACCAAAAGGTGTTTGTAGAATTGCACAGTGCCATTGCAGCTTAGTATTTTTTAAGAAATAACTCCTAAAATATTAACTGCACATATGCAACTATATATATGATAACTTTGCTGCAGAAAAAATGGAGTGTTATAGAGTGTTGTATTGACAGGCATTCTGTTTTGTGCTTTTTTTTCCCCCAGGTGGTTCACTGCCCCATGAAGAGTCTTCAGTGGTTGTGAATAAAGGGGAGGAATTAAGGCTGAGGTGCAATGAGGAGGGACCCGTGACTTGGAATTTCCAGAACTCAGACCCATCGGCAAAAGCAAGGAGTTCTAATGAGAAAGAGTGGTACACCAAAAATGCAACAGTCAGAGACATAGGCAGATACATATGCAGAAGCAAAGGGAATATTGTTACCTCTTTTTATGTTTTTGTTAAAGGTAAATATCAATGAAGGCATTATTTTTGCTTCCTCCCCGCTCCCTTTCCCATTCCTAAAATAATAGGACAATAAATGTTGGAGGAGGGAATGAATTTGAAGTAGAGAGAGAGAACACAGTGTGATAGAAGAAGTCTTCTTCCCTGTTCAGTAGGAAGAAACCTCACTCTTGGCTTTGCTTGCAATGGCCTTTGTCACCAGAGCAAAGTTCTGGATGAGTGCCTCAGTACATCCCCATTATTTTGTTGTGAAATATACCAAAGCTTTCTTTCTAGACTCTAGCCAGGTGACCTGGGTCTGTTGTATGAGTCAGTTGTACTGTGAGGAAGCAAGCAATATGTAGAAATGTCTTTTTAATTACACGCCATCCATCAGTATGGAGTCATAGAATAAGGCTTGGTCCCAAGCTTTTGATTTAGTGAGGCAGTTAGCCTAAAGCATTTGGTTTTTTTGAGGCTGTGCTTCAGGCCTCAGCCAGCAAACAGAAATGATTCGTCTGCCTCCAGCTTCTCATATACTTTCTGACTGATCAGAAACGTCTCAGACAGGAAAAAAAAGTGCTTCTGCTCTGACACATTTTTTCAATCCTTTATTACTCTTCTTTTTGCAGTGTTTTCTTCAGATTTCTTCTGTTTTTGGCTCCTTATCTGTGGCTTCATCAACTGCCCTCAAGCTGACAGTTTATTATGCCTGGCATTCCCTTTTACTTTCCAAGGAAAGTGGTTATTTTGCTTCTTCTTCACATAGCTCTAGTGGTCTTCCTTCGCTGTTGATGGAAGAAAGTCCTACGGTGCCCACTTTCTTGGAGACAGCATTCTGTGTCCAATAGGGGTGTCTCAAAGAGCCTCTTCTGAACCCTGCCAATCCTTTGTAAATTACTGCAAGGTTGTTCTCCAAGACAGGGAGATACCAACACAGCAAAGCATATTTTCCCAAGGGAAAATATCTGGCATAGTGGCCACACAAATGCTCTTTTAACAACAAATGCTCTTTTAACTACTCTTGAGTTGTCCAAATAGCCATGCATGTTTCTCTGAGACTATGACTAAAAGAAATCTGACATGTATTTTACTTATATGTGGCAAACAATGTTGACTTTATCTACCATGATTGTTTTCCTGAAGGTCATGGTAATTATCTCAGACAGCTGTGACCATAGAGAAGTTTTTGCCTGCCATTACAAGAGTGACTCCTTCATCTCAGGACACCAGGCAGTCCTCCCACTAAGAATGATTACCAAAGCATCAGGGAAGTTGTGTGGCCTTCATGCAATACATTGTTAACTTTTTTGTGTCCGTTGTGTGAAAACTGTGCAAGCTTCATTTTGACAAGTTTCTGGCGGTGAAATAAGTACGTTTGTGAGGTTGGCTATCATTTTGCCATAGGTTCTGGCTTAATGACATCTTACATCACCTATAAGATGCTGTCTTGTGCTCTGCTGCTTGTGGCATTGCCACAAGCACCCCATACACTTTCTGTTTGTAAAGCTGAAAGTGAAGAGAGAACAGGACCAAGAACCTTGATCCTGCACAGTCCCAAGTGACACATAAAATGGTGGTGTCTGTTTATACCTCACATTCTTCTGGATCTACTAAACCTAAATTTCCTATGTTTCTGTGACCAAGAATGACACAGTGTTGACAAACCGTGGGCACTTACCTGTTTCACCTTTCTGTTTTGGCTGAAAGGGCCTGTGTTGTGTCTATAGAAGCAGTTTATGTTCTGATCCAAGCAAGACTAGTGAAGATCAAGTTAGTTCAGACACCTACATAAGAGAGAAAAATCTTTTAATTTTGATCTCAAGTCTTTTCAGATGCAAGTAATGATAAGCTCCACCATATCTTGTGTTGGAAACCTGTGGCATGCACAGAAAGCAAGTAAAACCCAAGATGTACATAGGGTGGAAATCTGTGAAAGGAGCAACATGACCATGAGCAGCTTTGTTTGTGCGTAGATTCCCTACAGGAAATCTTTTCATGTCTTTTCACTGTAATATGTCCCTTCTAGAGGGGGATTGAAGATGCAAGAGGAGAACTTCAACAATTCTGCTTGCCCCAGTCAAGGCCTTCCCCACAATTTCAGCTGTTAGCAAAACAGGTCTTTGTTTCTTTCTTCTGTTTCCAAAAGATGTCTTTTTTCTTTCTCCTGGGGAGCCCTACTTTCTGCATAATGAAGATATCTTGGCTCTGTCCATATTGGAGAAAAAGTGGACTGAGTGGAAACCAATCAGTTAAGTCTCTGTTAGCAGGGACATTTAGATGAGCTTTTCTAGTCCATCCTGTTCCAGCTCAGGAGTGACATCTAGTCATAGCATTCATCTAAGTATCTCTGTGTGCAAAATGTTACATTTTGTTTCTGTTCAGACATGCTTTACTTTAGTTCTAGACTGATGCTTCAAAACTTGTAGTTTTTGGGGGCACCTTGGGTGGTAGTATAAAATGATGTTGAAGCTACACCCTCACTCTAAGCTAGAAACCAGCCAGTAACTTCTCTGTTTGGTGATGAGCAGCATTCGACTTAGCAAATTGCTTACGTAAAATCCCATGCTTAATTTTCAACCTGGTACTTGTTGTCCAAAATCTTAAAACCAAATTCTCTTAGTCTTCCTTGTTAAGTCATGGTTTGTTGATCTCTAATCATTGAAGTTGTAAGCATGTTTGCAAAAAAGAAAGAAAACTTTTCCTTCTGTTTTTGTGTTTCTAATTCATTCTACTCTGTAGGGAGGGCAGATGGAATCTGAAATAAGCTTTTACAGAGGGTTTCTCATCACACATTTTTGTGTTTGCCAGGTTCTTAGCATTTCAAGGTCATGACCTATCACAGGCTTCAACTTTGGTTGTAAAAGTTTTTAAAGTACTGTATGTTTGTGTGCTGTGGTTGGTTAGGATGAAATGCTTTAGAAAAGTTACCTTGTGAAAGATTGCATGATGATTTTTCAATCAGATATGCTGTTTGTATGCCCAGTTTTTCTTCTAAGGAGGCTAAAAATAATCCCTGCTTTCAAGGAGGGGAGAGAAAGAGAGAAGTTGTTTGGTGCTTCCTCTGGTAGCAGTGTGTGTTCATTTAGATTATGTATTTTACAGAAGTGAAAACCATAATCTAGGTGCTTTTCAACTTCCGTTTGCTCATAAATTTCTTCCAAATCCTCCTGTGGGCATGAAACCTTATAGCCCTGCCACTAGCTAAAAGCAAATTACTTTTAATGGTCTGTGAAAATCTGTTTACTGTTGTGGGGATATTTTGGAGCTAAACAAGGCGAAAAACCCCTCCACCTCCAAATATAAAAGCAGTAAGATTATTTTTAGTGCACATGATTCTTTAGCGTGTCTGGTATTGAATGCTACTGCATATCTCCTCTCATGCTGCCCTTTTAGGACTAAATTTAATGTCTCTTGGTAAACATGAATTGGGCCATTTTACTGTCTGAAAGTAAAACTTTCTTTGATATAAGTGCCCAATTGCAGAGTTCGAGGGTCATCAGAAGTTCCCTGTGCAATGCCAGCTTCTCTGACAGGTCTTTGTGTTTCTTCACAGATCCAAATGTGCTCTTCCTTGTTGATTCTCTGATTTACGGAAAAGAAGACAGTGACATCCTGCTAGTGTGCCCACTAACAGATCCAAATATTACGAATTTCACACTGAGAAAATGTGACAGCAAACGTCTCCCAAAAAACATGACATTCATTCCCAACCCCCAGAAAGGCATCATTATAAAGAACGTCCAGAGGTCATTTAAGGGCTGCTACCAGTGCTTGGCCAAGCACAATGGAGTTGAGAAGATGTCAGAGAACATTTACCTGACTGTGAGACCAGGTAACATGGGATTTTTGCCTTTGTATAGAGCACCTGGTTTTACTCTTCACCTTCCAGGAGCTGATGGGAGGGGCTGTGAAACCTCACCACTGTCCAAAGGAAAGTGATGAGCTTAGAAAGCTTGTTCTGGGCAAATTGTGTTGGGGCACAGATTGATCTCATGACACTTAGCTTGTAGATGTGCTGAGAAGGTTTGGCCGTGATCAGTTTTGTTTTCTGTTCCTAGTGATTTCCAGGAGGTTTTTTCATCAATATGAGAAATGTGGGTTGTGCTGTTGAACTCTGAGGACAAAACTGTGCCTTGAGTTTTGGACAGGTTTTTGCAAGCAAGATGGAGATTTCAGTGCCTGACTCGCATGTCTATCGCCCACAAGTGACAGCAGGAGGAACTGATTGATGGCATTGAAGAGGGATTTGGTGGAGAGGCAGAACTTGGGGAAGGAGAAGGTCCTTGTTTGTCTCCATATTTGGGACTGAAGATGATCAGAAAAGCATCTGTGTGGTCAGGTCATGATGAAGAATGTGTTGTGACTGAGCTGCTACATGCACCAGTGAGCTTGGCAAACGTGTTGGCGATAGCCTACACTTGACCTTCTCACACTCTTGGGCCCTAGGGTTGCGTGCTTAGGTGGGTTTGGGAAGGAGGAGAAGCCCAATGCCTGTCTGCAGTACTTTACAGGCTGGTTTTGTCTGGGTAGTTTGGAGCCTATGCTTACCCTGTGTGTCATTATTTGGCTGTCTAAATACCTCCAGGAGGAAAGTGGAGGGAGCATTTCATCAAGCCAGGCTGGCTCGGTGTTTCCTAAGGGGTGAGTAAATGAGTTTGTTGTCTGTGTAGCTCTGGACCCTTGGAATGAAGCCACTCCTTGTCGCAGCTGAGAGTGTCTCTGCTAAGGCGTGTGTGTGATGTGGGGGCTGCAGTGGGGTCTGGAGAGAGGGCATCCCCTGTCCGGGCACACACGTAGGCTGTGCACTAGGAGTTTACCTTGGCTGCAAGGGCATTTCTGCTCAGGTATCTGGTTGGGTTTTTGTTATTGAAAGGAGAGCAGCACATGGGGGCTATGCTGATTGGCTTTGTGCTTCCTATAGCATCCATCCATCCATCAGTGATGTTATCCCAGTGGTGCTGCCAAGGCTGCTGCCAAAGGAGGGCTGGGCCAGCGAGCTGGTATGCGTCTCCCTTGTTGCCTGCACTATGCCAGGTGTTGGGAGCTGAGGCCAGGCCATCAGCAGCATGGCCCCTAGTTCTGGAGAAACAGGGCTGCCCCATGGTGTGATGAGGGCACATGTTGTTGTTTGCTTCGTGGCGGGGGCTCTGTGACCTGCCTGGGGCTCTGTGACCTGCCCAGTGACATGCTCCTTGGTGGTGGGACAAGGACTTGAGCAGTGGGAACCATCTCAAGTGTGGAGTTTGCTGTGGCAAATTTAAGAAGTCTTTTTTTCTTGGTGATTTGGAAATTCTGATGTAGTGAATTTTAAAGAGTTATAAAATTTCAATTAATGGGAAGATAACAAAAGTTGAGTCAGTGCAGGCATCTCTGGCATTTGCCTTCGACAAACAAAAATCAAGTCCATTCTTGCTACCTCTATTGTTTGTTCTGTAACAAGTGTTTTTTTCATCTGTTTCTTCAGTGGTGTCCAAAGAAAGAAACCCGCTGTTTGACACAACTGATGTTTCTCTGACAAAGGAGGGTGGAAGTTGTACTATTGGACTTTTTCATTTTTTTAATGGATAAAAGCTTGTACTTGCTCAATACGGTGGTGACTTCAGATGGAAGAGTGCTGAGCTGGCACCATTGCCAGCAGCCATTGATGGTGGGCAGCCATAGGTGGCTGGGAGCACCTCAACACTCTGCCCGCGTTTTCTGTCAGGGAGGAAGCGTGCAGTAAGTGGGAAACATCTGCTGAAATCCATCAACAGCATTGTCACTCTCAGTCTTGTAATTACTGTGCAGTAGTGTTGAGTCCTTATTGAGTTAAAAGGTGAAAAAGGTAAAACTCCCACTTTCTCCTTCACTCAACATTTAAATGTGTTGGAGACCCTTTGGTGGGTAATGTTTTTGTAGCTACAACCGTGGCACTCAGACCCCCAGATCTGAGTTTCTGGTGCAGAAAGACAGGCATCCATGAAATAGGGAGCTGTGCAGGTGCATTCAGACTCACAGCAACTACAACAGCACAGGTAGAGTTTATGTCCAGCCCTTCTCAAAACAATGAGGGGCTTTATGGACTTGGGCCTTGTTTTTTTGGATGTCCATAGATGTTTCTGACAGATGAGAACACAGAATGCCTTCTGCACTGGCTTCCTCCTGTCTCTTGGGTACTGCTGAATGCTGGTGTGCATTTTTGTGTGAGCCTTTATATCTGAAGAGAGCAATATGTTTCTTCTCTTCTGTAGCCACTTACAGCAACATGAGGAAAACATTATTATTAAAGTACTAATACCTGAAAAGTCTGGTGTTTTCCTAAGTTTTGTACAATTTACCTAAGACAACTACAAAACCTGTGTCAGAGGCAGGAAAAGAGTCTGGATGACCTTATCTGATATATGTTGCATTCACAGTTAGATAGAGAGTCAACCTGTGTAAAAGCTCTAGTGGGAAGTTCACTGGAGTCTAATAAAATAAGAAAATTTGAAGAAAGGATCAAGAAAACAGAAAGACAAACCATGAAGGGAACGGGGAAGAGCTGAAGAGCTTTGTGGAGACAAGAGAGACACAGTCCTCAGATATACTTCACTGTTGACAAGACACCCAGAAGCAGAACAGGGGTACAGCTAGTCCACAGCTACTTGTAACCACCTGCTCCTTGGGTGACAAACTCTGAACCATCACCATAAGCAGAGATTGTAGTGCTATCAGAGGCAGGTGTGCGCAAGTCCTTGAGCTTTACCTGTCCTTCCTAGGCTGTCCATCAGGAGCTTTTCAGGGACCTGTCAGACAGTACTTTCTGTCAGCTGTAATGTTTTGTAATTAAAATTTGCGGTTAGTGCTAGGCTGCTGTTTCTCAGTGACTGATCCTCACCATGTTTTCAGTTCCGTAGTGCTACTTTTTAATCACTGTCTTGGAGTCTCATTGATGGTTCAATATCGTTCAAGTTTCTTCATGCAAGTTACTATGCTCTAACAAATACTATCTAACTTTTAAGTGTAGTTTGAAGGGAGGTTGAAGCAGAAATGTGCTTGTTGTAAAGGAACAATTGTGTAATATGTTAGAAAAATTTGAATACATATCAGAGCCTTGATTTTATTGGAAAGTTAATGACTGTTGATTTTTATCCCCCCTTGGAAGCACTGGAACTAATGAAAAATAATATGCTTCTAAATTGTTTTCCAGTTCACAAAACTCTTCCTGTCATCACCTTATCGAAAAGCTATGAGCTTCTCAAAGAAGGGGAAGAATTTGAAGTTACATGCATAATCACGGATGTGGATAGCAGCGTACAAGCTAGTTGGATTTCTCACAAAAGTGGGGTAAGTTCCTTTAATTCTATCATGTATACTTCAGCACAGTTCACAGACCCTCTGTAGACATTCATATTTGTCTTGGCTACCTGATGCTGTGTCAGTTTGGATTTGTTGCATTTACAAAGATCCAGCATCCCACAGACTGATGAGGGAGCAACAACAGTCCTATGCCTATAAGGACAGCTGGGAGGAAAAGCATCTGCACGAGCTTCTCTTCTCAAACAGAAATTAAAATTAGGCTCTTCAATGTGAATTTTAGGTGACCTCTATTGGGCTTCCTAAATATGGAAGCATGGAGTGCCTACACATCACATTGCAATCAATGGGAGCTGCAAATATCAGCACATGGACTGCAAATTACATATTCTAGTTGTTATCATTAACAGTAAAATACCTGCTAATTAGCATGGGGTTGTGTGTGACAGGAATAGTAGTAAGCATTCACAGGAATGATTAATTCATTTGAATTACATGGTGTGCCTCACTAACTGGAAAAGTTCTGAAAAATGAACCAGTGAACTGGCTTCTGTCTGCCAGTGATAGATGAGGTTACTGACTGTCATCACCAAATTAAATTATTGACAGTCTAAGTGCTCCAGGAGAGTTAGTTACCAGCAGCACAACTGTTCTGCGGAAGAGGGGCAGAGAGATCCCCTTCTGGAGTAAGCCAGCATGCTGCCAGCTCTGTCTTTGAAATGAGCAGCAGGCACTGGGGTGTTTTTGAGAATGCTTCTAGGTCTTCTGGGTATACCCTGAAATTCAAATAAATTAAAAGCCCTTGTGAAGACCTTTTAGTAACTCCCACCATGCTAATTGGCTGGTCGTTTACTGCTAATGGTAGTGAGCAGAATACGTCATTCTCAGTCCATGTGTATGGAAGAAAAGACTTAACGTGATATTTGGATAAATCCCATCGCCTTGGGCACATAATGAACAGGAGTCCCATTCCCAGGGGCTGGGAATGCCATGCTTAGCTAATCCACCAGCTTTGGCGAAGCTGTTCTTGCTAAGTGCTCTCTGCTCCAGAAATCCCAGCTCACAGCTCTGAAGGTTGAGAAGGTCTAAGTGACATGAAGGCGGCATGGGACATGCAGATCCATTTTTGGTTCTGTGCCAAGGTCAACTGCAAGCCTTTCATCTGAGAGCTTCATTTTTTCTCTCATTCCCTTCCCTTTGCTTTGTTATATGTGATGAAATTGAGGCCTTCCCTTCAGTTTTTGTGCTTTATCGTTCTTCGCTTTATGAGTAAAAGCTACAAGGAAAGTATTTTTGACCAAATAAGTTTGACCTTTCTGCCTTTTCTAGTAAATAGCAGGAGATGCTGTCTTTTAAATACTATCAAATTAATTTTGTATTGAGAGAGTACACATAAATTTCATATTTAAGTAGATTCAGAATTACATTTTGTCCTGAATAGATGAGAGGAAAAAACCCACTTTTTCTGTGTATGACTGAAGTTACCACCACTTTTGAAAATTAGTAGAATTGTTATAAGCAAGCACATCCATACTAAATAAACGTCTCTTGTGATTATTATAGCTCAGGAGGAATCAAAATTGCATTGAGAAGCTTTAATTTGTCTAGAAGCTCTTGGAGCCTCCAAGAATTGAAATAATTCAATTAGAAAATCATAACAAGTCCAAGTCTGCATTTGGATTAATCAGTGTAAATTTTATCAGTCTTTCCAACCATACCAAACATTCTTGCAGAAACTAAAGTCAACACATCAAAGTATTAATTTTTTCTATGCGTATTCATAGGGTCATGTTATACTTAAGAAAATGAAGTTTCCAATTGCATTTAAGAGTAGTAAGTATATATTGCTAAGGACCAAGTGTCAGAGTGGGTACAAGAGGAAGGATGCTGTGTAAAGCCTGCTGCCAGCAGGGCTCTCTGCAGCATGCCTGCAATCAGAAGATGCTGTGGCCTTGGGACATAGAGCAACACAGTTTAAAATGAAGCCCCAGGACCTTAAATTCTCTTATGTAATTCACATGATTACATAATCATTGCAACCATTTGAGCAGGCAGTGAACTTCAGGCACCACTTAAGTGGTGAACCACACTTCAGAGTTGCAATAACTTCATACAAGAACTGCACCTTTTGAGCATTAGAAAAATCAGCACCCAGTGGTCATGTTGCATTAAGCCCTACAGGTAGAAGCACTGTTAGTGTAAAAAAAACCTTCTGTTGGTTCCTCACCTTTATCAATATTGGAAATGTAGCCAGAATAAGCTGGGCCTGACCTTGGGCGCAACACCCTTGTCATCATGTAATGGAAACATTTGAAGAAGCTAGAGTTTTAGTTTCTTGGCTTGGGCTGGTCTTCCTCTCTTTGGCTTTCTTGAGGCAGGTGAGCACAGCCCCACACTCACCCCACCCCATGTTCTGGCCTTACAGAGGAGCTTGAGGAGAAAAAAAAAAAAGGAACAATAAGAGGAGGGGATAGGACTTAGGAGAGAGAACATTATCTCCCAAAGGCAGCTGATCACACACTTGTTTTGCATGGAGAGATTCTAGTGGCAGGTTTGTCAAGCTGGCTTATTATTCCAGTTTAAAGTTATGAATATTAATATAGCAAAGTTATAATTACTTCTATTTTTAATTTATCTAGGAAAGATGATGCATACACAGTGTTTTAGTTGTTAATTGTTTTTTACCGACAGATTGTTACAAGCAAAAGCAGAAATTTGGGTGATTATGGATACGAAAGGAAATTAACATTGAACATCCGTTCAGTGGGAGTTAATGATTCTGGAGAATTCATATGCCAAGCAGAAAACCCTTTCGGAAAAACCAATGCCACAGTAACCTTGAAAGCACTAGGTAAATGCTTCTTGTAGAAATCTTAACATTTCTAAGAGCAGGAGATGAAGAGTGGGAACAATAGGGAGTCTTCCCTCCCTTTTTTCTCCTTTTCCCCAAACCTCAGTGAGTAAAGTTGCTTTTCTTAAAAGGTTATTGCTGACTGGTACCATATGGGATGGCTCAGGAAGTGTTGTGGTGTGTATGACTACTTTGATTTCTGTAACCCTTTGCATGTTATTGGAAAGAAATGTTAGAACAATCACCCAACAGTGTTTCCATCTCTCTGGTTTGTCTCATCCTTCGTGGTTTAATTTCGAATTTAATCCAGTTTTAACAAAACAAGTGATTTACTTTTGCCTAGTACTGTCCCTGTGCTTAAGTAATTTGGCAGCACAAGCACAAAACACGTCTTTAATACCTGCCTTCCAAGAATGGGAAATTTCACTGACAGTGTGTCAATGTTTTTACGTAAAAGCTATATTTGTACCTCTGTTTAAAATGATGCTTTGAGGAACATCGTGATGTGCATAGACGGCATGAAATTGTTCCAGAGGTCACCCCCCTATTAAACCCACTATCCATCACATCTACATGTTTTGGATCATGACCCTAAACAGTGAGAAAACTCCCTTCCTCCTCGTTTAATAACAGGTGCATTTAGAGTCTGCTATATATTAACTTGGATGACACCCAGTGCCTTTTGAATTTTAAAGCTGCTGAAACCTGCTCATTTGATAAATTAAGTACAATTAAGGACATCTTAGTATGTTAATAGTATCATTCTGGTCTGTGTAATTGGCTACAACTGTTTCAGTTCCGTACCATTCAAGGGTGTAGTAACTGAGGGAAGTGTAGCCTTGGATCCTTTTTCCTTTTCAAATCCGTTTTTCTGTTGCACAGACACACACTCCTGCAACAATGCTTGTTTTGCTTTCCCTGGTAACGTAAAGAAAACAGAAGTGTTTGACCTATGTGGGTCAGATCTTCAGCAAAGCCGCAAAGGTTTAAGTGCCCTTAACCTTGCTCTGCTGTTGGAGGGGGTAGGGCTCAGAAGTACGGGGATGTTTTCCTCATTTTTTTACAGAAGAGACTACATTCATATGTAAAAGAGTGAAACAGTGTGAAGTATGAAAGAAAATCTTTTCCCCAAGGGAATCAATGTGAAAGCTTCTATTATAAGAAGAGGGAAGTTCTTAACTGCAGAAATTCTTAGTACTACTACATATGCAAATGTGGCTTTAAAAGGATTGACTTTGGAAAGTCTGGGGTTTAAAATAAAGCATGGTATTATACAAAGTAGAAAATAAAGTAGCAAGTTTTTATTTAGTAACTTTGTATTCAATAATGAAGTGCCAGAGAAAAGGTGGAATCTTTTCTTTTTGAGATACTTTTCTCCCCCCACCCTCTCAAATTTGACTTAAAATTTTTAAGCTCCAACTTCTGGATATCTTTCACCATTCATTCAGATTGACTGTATTTACCTGAGCTGTGAAGCTACCAGGGTCCTGGGAAGTGGTATATGGTGTATACTGGAGAGATCCTGGGATTGCATCAAATCCTAAATCACTGTGGCTTTAACATTAATCAAAAGATTTACAAGAAATAATGTGTATTTTTTGGTAAATTTCCTAATTACTGTTTTTAATTTATCTAACTGTAGACAGTTACTAGAACTGCATTCCAGGGACCAATAGCATCATAATAAAATTTTATTTGAAAGCTCTTGTGTCTGATTTTGAATATAGGTTGCATAGAGGATCCTGTGTTTATAGAGGTAACAGAAAAAAGCTCTGCAAAGGAACTACAAATCTTCAGTTTCCAGATTTGAAACCTTTTTCTCTTTTCTAGTGAAGGAGAGCATTTTAGAGCATACCTGCCTGCTGTGAATTTATTTGATCCTTTCTTCTCCAAAGCACCTGTCAAGTGCTCTGTCAGCTCCAGATGCTTTCACCAAGCCCCACTGGCTCTGGTTTTCCTGAGCTCGGGTGCCCAGCTGGCCCCAGCAGTTTGATTACTAAAGAGTGGGAAGAAGCAGGGATCTGAGATTGATTTTAGGTCTAAATTCAAGCTCTCAGTAAATGTGTTTCCTTTTAATTGCAATCTGCCCATCAAACTGATAATTCCCTAATGAATTTGTGTAATAGGACAGAAAAATTTGTCTTTTCAAAGTAAATCCTGAAGCTGATGACTTTATTAATGAAATTAAAACTGCTACAGCAAGGATGTTGTTAGACATGATATTTTGGAACGGAACTGCACAATGGTACATGGTATCTGCCAAATAAAAGATTAAGACCCAGCAGCAGATGTACAGAAATGCCTTAGTTTAAGACGATTGGTATCCAGGCCTATGGACTTAGCACATTTTTCTCTAATTACAGCTTTTAATAGCTTCATTTGTAATGTTGTTCTTAATTACACTTGACAAAGAAACATTAAATACTCTAGTATATTGTCATAAATGATTTTATCTTGCTTTTTTCTTAGTGCTTCTTTTTTACCAGACAGTTAGCAACTCTGATTTTTGGAAAAATATAAATAGTTGAGTAGAATCAAATGTGTCCTTGCATTTTTCCAAAAGCAAATAGAGGATATTTGTCACCAGAAGATGGAATTATGGATGTTAAGGCACTAAGGCTACTTTAAGTCCTGTGTGTCACTGCTATATAAAGCTATTGGCCTTGGTTTTGGCAGGTGAGGGTTCAAGTTATGCTTTGCAGATGAGGTTTTCTGTTTCACAGTTGGATATTTGATCACTGATCTTGAAGTACTCTAAGGGTGGTTAGAGTACTGACAATATTCTAAATGGCCTTGAAATTGTTTTTCTTCTCCTCTTATGACCATCAGCTAAAGGATTTGTCCGTTTGTTTGCAACAATGAATACCACAATAGATATAAATGCAGGACAAAATGGAAACTTAACAGTTGAATATGACGCATATCCAAAACCGAAGGAAGAAGTCTGGATGTTCATGAATGAAACATTACAGAATTCCTCAGACCATAATGTCAAGTTCAGGAGCGTGGGTAATAACAGGTAATATGCATGACTGTAAGTGCTATTGATTTCACTTTGGAACAGTAAACTAGAGTCTGCTCTGGAAAGAGGAAAGTGGAGATGGTGAAAAAATTGTTACTATAGAAGATCTTTTAGTACATGTGGCTTGCCGCAGTAACTGGTGCAAAGTCTGCTAACCTAGATATGGAATAGCATTGAGCTAACCACACCACCTGAGGACCAGCATGCTGTATGCTCATGACTCGCCTACATTCCTGTCCAATGAGCAACAATGAGAATTTAGAGTTGTTTGTGTGCAGAAACTCCCTCTGCTGCTTCAGCAGACCCCATTGCTGTAGATAAAAGCTTGTGCTTTTATTTCTGCTATGCACTGTTCTTCCCTGATCCCTGGTCCTCCAAAAATCCAGTGAAGCACCTAGCACATGTGGTCTAGGTTGTAAATCTGGGTTCCCTCCTCAGTCAGAAGAGGAATAGGTGGTGGTGCCTGCGTGAGGTCTGAGCCTGGTGCTGAGCTGTCACCAGGCACACATCTGGGTGTTGGAAGTCGCAAAACTTGTGGGAATTAGAAGTGCAAGGGCTGTTGTAATGCAAGATAAGAGTGCTTGCATGGACTGTGTCTGCAGAAAATGACACGCTGTTAATTCCCTCCTCAACTTCCGTGCAGCAAGCTGTGTGCCATAGTAATGCTTAATTTTTTTCTTTTTAGTTATACAAGTGAACTTCACCTTACACGATTAAAAGGAACAGAAGGAGGCATTTACACATTTTTTGTGTCCAATTCTGATGCCAGCTCCTCTGTAACATTTAATGTCTATGTGAAAAGTAAGTAAAGTGAACAGTCTGAAATATTTCATTATCACAGTCGTATTTTATACAACATAATGTATGCACAAGATGTCACAGAGTGGTTCAGCATATGAGAGGCTTTCTGAAGTGAACCACATGCTGGAAAACTAAATGTCAAGATATAAAAGTGCAGAGTATTTACACAAATCCACGTAGTATCCAGCGTGACCTTACATTCTAGCAAACATATTCCAGAGATTACCAGAGAGCAGCTAGGTAGTCTATACAGAAAAAAAACCCTGTAGCACCTGGAAACACAATCTCAAAAATAAGTATGTAACATAAACCTTTAATAATTTGAGGTGGAACAGGATATACAGGGATTATAATTTGCATTTTTGTCAACCAAGTAAAGATATTAATTGTTCTTAATTTGTTTGACTTGAATTTGAATGCTTGTCAGGGGAATTACTAACATTTAAATGCCTTTTGGCATCTAAATACTTCTGTATAATAATATAAATCACCATTGCTTAAGAGAAATCTGCATAGCTTTACAAATATGTGTGCTGTCATCTTTGGGATGTGCTTATTAAGAAAGAGCATTGGCTTCAGTTCCAAATAGCATTCTTCAAGACAAAAGCTAAACTTCAAAAGTAAATCAATGAAACCTTCAGAAAACCCTGTCCTTAGCAGAATACTTAGGGTATTTCATTCTCTCAGCAGACAGATATTGGCAGCTGCTAAAGGCCAGGCTTAAGGAAAATTAAACCAAGAGGGGACTGTAGGCAAACTGGAGAAACTAGGGCGAAGTAGGCAATGATGCCTTTGAGCCCAGCAGGAGGAACTGTATAGAAAGTAAAGGAATGTGCTGTAAATGCAGTTTTGTGTTGCTGCTATGCTTTAGCAGCAGTGTGTCCTTTTCCAGGCATAGCTGTATGAAGAGGACTATCAAGACTTCCACAAATGCATCAAGTCCTAGATATTAATTTCTGAATTCTTCTCATTTATCACTGAAGATGAACATTTGTAGCATCTCTATGCAGTGACATAGTTTGGGTCAGAAATGTCACTTGAGCTCCTTTCAGAATGTGGTATTTCTTCTTTCATTTCTGAATGTTGTCATTTGTATTGTACCTTTTCTGTTTCCTAGCTGTGATTTCTGAGATGAGGGCACTGGTGACCTCAGATGTCCTTTATCTCAGTGAATGAGTGTGGGTTACAGTCATGAGGGATAATTCTAGTATTTAACAGATTAATGGAGCAAATTGTTGAGCCAGAAGTTTAATTTCTGTGAAGGAATGGGAGAAATTCCAGGTTACCTGTGGAACTGTTAGTTCACATGAAGTTGGATGGTGTTTTCCAACTCACAATGTCATACATGTGCTTGGAGCTAGAGGCTGTTCATGGTTCTCCCAGCTCTCCCAGGCTCTGCAGGCTGCTTGGACATAGTCTGGGCACAAGAACTCAAAAAAACTAGCCAAAAATAACCTAAAAAAACCAGTTTTGTCATCATCAGGTGTCAGTTCTCAATGCAGATCTCCATGTTGCTGCTTTTGAGGTATGTGCTACTTGATAAAAGCTGAAAATCCCTGTAGATCATGGTTAGAAAACCAGACTAGAAAGAAGATGGTGAAGCAAGATGGACAAGGCAAGAGGGAACATAGACAGTTTAGTTCTTCTGAATGGCTTGTCCATACAACCAGCAAGTCTGTTTCCTTCTTGCTTCAACTACTGGTCTTGTAAGTAGGAAGATCAGTCTTGGGATGCCCTGAGGACATTTAAGCAGTCCCATGGAGCACATGTTACCACACACTGTGGCCCTGGGCAGACTGCAGCCATTGCTGAAGCAGATAGATTTGAAGCACTTGACTTAAAAAAGGGTTTTTTGGCATTTTGACTAAGCTTCTGCAAACTTTTTTTTCATTTTGGAAAGAAGAGATAAATAGATTGGTCTTTCTAGGGGTTTCTTTTTAACAAAAATAACCTGTTTTCACTGGCTTGTAAAATGCTCATCATTTAGGTATGATACACAAACTGCATGACAACATACTCTATTATTTGACATAGCAGAGTAATTGCCAAAGGTAGGTTATATGTGGGTTGGTTGTATCCTGATCTTATGGTGCATCCTGACCTGGCATCGTTGTCAGGGATTTTGCATAAATTGCTTGGATGTAGATCGTGATGTTTACACGTCTGTCTTGGGCAAGTAATCAGCAGAAAGTAATCAAACAGGTAAAACAGGATACATAATCAGCAGAGAATGTCTTTGCATAAACAGAAGTCGATGCCAAAACATTTGCTGAAAGACATGAAAAACCCAGTGCAGAAATACTTTGCTTGGATTTAAGCATATTTAGCAATTGCATATGCTAGTCTGAAATAATACTAAATTGCTTTAAGAAATAGTATAGTAATTCATAGTAAATGTGACATAAAGTAAGTAAGGAAGGAGCTCTGAAATTAGGAGTCAAAAAGAAAATTACAGCTTGACATGCAGCATACTGTACTCAGTTACAATTAAGATATTGTAGAAATCTCCAGAGTGGCAAGGTATGGTGCATCTAGCAATTAGCGGAGGAATCTTCCAACTAGTAACTGAGTTTAGTGCAAAATAATATCTGAGCTTAATTATAGTCAACCAAATATTATCTATGCAGTTGGGGCTCATGCTGCAAAGAGAAAACTGGTCATGGTATTATAGATCACATGAAGCCAAGCTCAGCTGTTTTCCTCTTGTTGAACTAAGCAGTGAAAAAGTGAGGAGTCACCATGATATTGTAAAAAGATTTGTTCCAATCCAGAAATTGTAGATCCAGGAGGAAAGCATTCTCTCTTTGTCTGGGATGACTGACAATACCTATTAAGTGTTACTTTTTAGACATTCACTTTGTTAAGAATGAAGAAAGGGAAATTGGCAATAAAAAGAAATTAAATGCAAAATTCATGATACAGTACATTGAATTAAAATACAAGTGACCTCTTATAAGTCATCTTTGTTACATTTAGAATAAATTAATCAATGTAATCAATAAAAGCTGAAAAGCAATTAATAAACTTAGTGAAATTAGAAGTTTAAGACATTTAATGACCAATTACAGAAGGCAATATGCATATATGCTGAGCGATGTAATGAAGTGTTAAATATTTAAAGGGTTAAAGCCAAAACAATAAGCAAAGTCTAGTCATTACGATTCTGTCTGATAGCAGGGGTAATAAGGCAGTGAAAGTCATAAAATCTAGTACAGTAAAATCCCTTTTAAAAGGAAGATGCTTGGTGACAGCTTGGCATCTGTTTGCAGAGGCCAGTCGATCTTTGCTCCAGCATCCCCTGGAGGACCTACATTGGTGGTTGAGGAAGATGCTCTGGCTGCCAGAAAGGGGTGCAGGTGCTGAGACACATATGTGGCCTGAGCCGACAAAGGCACAGCCTGGAGGACGGCAGTAGCAGCAGTAGCAGCCGACTCAGTCCTCTTGGGTACTGGCTTAGGGGGCTCTTTGCTGCCTCAAGTGAAATGCATCCCTTAATTTCTTTGAGCCAGGGAAGCTTGGGAGCCCTCAGTGCTGGTGGGGAGAAGCTGATCATGCTAATTGCCACATCAAAGTGCTTCACCAGGCACATGACAGGTAGAACTGCTCTTAGGTCATCTGTTCTCAGAGGCTGCTGCAGCTCAGCTTCCCATGCCACCAAGGCTGGACCACTCTGCCTGGGCTGCTGGAGGCGTTAACCCTGCACAGCCTCTTGTTTCCCTCCATTGCTGCAGGATAAGTCCACATGAGATCATGGCCATGTGAAGAGGCTTTTATTGCACTAGGTTTTTACAGTGGAAAGAGCCTGACTAATATGGGCATTTTTGTTTCCCTCACTCAAAGTCAGAAGATGTTAGATGCAGAACAACTCTTGCGCAATATTTTTACCAGGGCTTAATGCTCATACTGCTCTTATATTTGACTTGTCATGTCTCTCATTTCTTGAGTTATGTTGTGCTATAATGTTGCCTAAAACATAGCATACGCCTAAACAAATAGCACATGGGTAACAGTTTAGCTAATTACAATTTCACAATCCAACCATTTTGATTGGAGTTTCAGAAATGTGAATTACATGTATTCTGTGAGCACTGAGGCTGGATGAGATGCTGTGTGCTCTCAGAAAATTCCTCACCAAATGAGTAATGCTGAAAATTAATCTCAACATTTTACAATAATGTTTCGTTCTTGGTGGTTTGCATAAAACACACACGGATTTAGAAATGAAAGAACATTTGGTTCCTGTAACAAGTCATGAGGAGATGATATGTGATTGAGAATATACGTGTGCTTTATTGCTTTTAATTTAATCAGCGAGTAGAATATTCATTAAAAATGAACACCATACAGTCTTTGTACATGGATTTTTCCTGAAATAAATTTGTGTTTTCCCACTGCAGTCTATACAGCTTCGCTACTTTCTAGAATTAGAAATTCCTCTTACATTTCTATAAAGCTGTATTAGCTGATAAGGGACTCTTAACTTGTACCTATCAGGTTAGCAGCATCATTGCTTATAGTTTTTTTTCATTGGCTTTTGTTTGGGTGATTTTGCAAGGAAGCTAAGGTAGTTATGGGAAATAAAACCTGTAATTCAAGTTTCACCAGGAAAAACATCTTGCTCTATTGGTGGTGCCCTTGGCTGAAGCCTGTGACATTGGACTAATGACTCTGAAGTCCACCTGACTGCTCTCATTTCCTCCCATACTTGAAACAGCAGCTCCTGAACCAACTGCAGGAATAAGTCCTGTTCAGGATGTATGTGGCAGAAGGCATCGGCTGAATGGATTGCTTTCTAAACTACCAGAGCAATCACAAATTCTCATTTGGAAAGCTGATACATTCTGCCAAACATTAGTTTCCTCTACATGCAGTGTTTCAGAGAATCAGGCAGTTGGGCATTTCATTAGCAATATCTAAGAGGGATGTCTGTCCTCTGTGGGATGGGGTCTGCACTGGTTGCCTTGCACTGTAGTTCCTTTTCTGGCTGCGGTGGTAATATTTAATACACAGGGCAGATGTAAGAGGGATGTGGTTTGACAGATTTAGTACAATTATAACGGTGGAGAAACTGTCCTTTTTTTACAGGCGGGTAAAGTCATGCCATGCAGAAACGGGAACTGCACTGTTGTTCCAAGCACACAATTCTTTGGGTTGTTTAATCTCTGAGCTTTGCTGGTTTAGGATCTTTCATCCAACCGAATACTCAGGGGAGATAAAGTATTCTTCTGACATCCAGCCAAAACATTCAGTGTAAGAGCTAATATTTTCACAAATGTTCAATTTTTGTAGGACACCAGTTCAAGCCTGGAGATCCTTGAGCATGAGAAACTCTTGCTCACCTGAGCGATTCCATGGATGATGAGGCACACAGGTTGCTGGGGTGAAGAGCAAATAGTAGTGCAAATTCTGTGTTCTCCTAATGGATGACTCTTGTTTTTGTTTATTGCAGCAAAACCGGAAATTCTCACTCTGGATATACTTGGCAATGGTGTCCTTCAGTGCGTAGCAGCTGGATTCCCAGCCCCTACCATATACTGGTATTTTAGCCCAGGAACTGAGCAGAGGTGAGTTAAGTAAACAGGAGTTTCCAAAGGTGCAACACACCCAATTTCTACTTAAAAATTAAGAACATAAAATGACTTGGTAAAAGTTATGTTCAAACGTTGCATCACTGTTTTCATCATTTTTTGTATCACATTATTTGCAATGGTTTGTGAAAAGGCAGGGATATGTTTCATTTTCCCCCTTTGCATTCTGTCCTTGAAAGGAGAATAACCAACACTTTCTCCTGCATAAAAGGCAAACTTTCTGCTGCAAGCTAGCTATGGTTTGTATCACTTTGGCCCCAAATGACACATGTTCTCTATGCAATTTCACTGAATGCCAGTCATGGAATCACTTGTGAATAAGGCTGTTATAATTTGTTTTATTGTGTAATGAAGTAGTTTTTCAAGACATAATGTAATTAGATTTCCATTCACATGAAACATATGACAAGTATACAAGTCCAGAGTGGTTATGAATAAAACCTGATGTTTAGTCATCGCATTTTTAAAAAGATTGTAGAGTTTCACTGTGAAGTGAGCATTTGTGAAGCAAGTTTTAAGGTTCTGGTTTACTTCCACCATAGCTGTAGGTCTCGTACTAGCAAGTCATGGGTCTCCCTCCCACCTGTGTAATTTGTTTTATGTCTGAAATAATTGTTATTTCATTAATTGTTTTAAACAGTACCTTTTTAAAAATCTTAAATGTGTGCTCATGTATCAATGTGTGCTTCATTTATCAATACATGATATATGAAGGAGAAGCAGCATCTTAAGGGAAAAGAGGTGGCTAATTTTTGACTGCATATAAGCTTGATGGTGTTTTATGTACATCATGGACTTTTTTTTTTCTGTAATAAGATGATGCTTGCGGAAAGTTTTCAGGAGTAGGTAATAGACCATAATTGCTTGAAGCTGAAGTTGGAGGTGCAGGTTGAATGGTATAAAACCCATAGTGAAGTTTCAGACCTATAGGTATTTCTAACCAAAAGCAAATGCAAAGACATCATGGTCTCCAGCTGGGTCAGGCTGGGTTTATGTGTCAGTTTCTCCCACTGCATTAAAGACAATGAGACATCATGAGCAGGCTGTTTGGAGGATAAGAGCTTCAGATGAATCCCTTTGTAGAGCAGTGTTGTTTAGTTACCTGTTGGTGGCATTCCAGATAGCAATCCATGGCAGGTAACTGTCAGTATTGTTTCTCCCAGGTGTTTTGATTCACCGACAATATCTCCCATGCTTATCAAAAGTGGTTACACGAATTCATCAGTGCCATCATTTGAACGAATCCGGGTTGAAAGCACAATTAACACCAGCGTGTTCAGGAGCACTGGCACCGTGTGCTGCGAGGCCTCCAGCAATGGGGACAGGAGCTCTGCTTTCTTCAACTTTGCTATTAAAGGTAATGGCTGGGGTGAATGAGACCATAAAACAAGGGTGTCCTGCAGCTCTTTCGGTAAAAGGATTTTAAGTGGTTTACCTTTGCCATAAGAAAGTTGACGGTACTGTGGCTGAGTGTATGATAACACACTATGTTACATACTCTGGCTGTCAAAGCATTGCTTTAATTTTTCAATTAATATTGTGTTACCATCCTTTTATGGCTCCAGATCTGCAGTGCAGTAGGTAGCTGGTTTTATTCTGTCTGTGCAGCCCAGGGGCAAACCACATACAGCATTACCCCGTCTTTCCTTCTCTCTCTCCCTTTTCTTGTCATTGTCTGTTTTGACTATTTAGGCCATCACTTTTTTTTTTTCAAGGAAAGATTGCATTTTATTTTAGGTTTTTACAATGTCTCAGGAAAAATGCAGTCCCAAACTTGCCTGGAGCTCAAGGGTCCTGCTGTTGTAAAAGAAGTAACAACAACATACTGCAAAAAGGCTTATGAGTTTTTTTAGCAGTATTTGTGGGTTTGTGGGGGAAAAAAGCACTTGAACCTAGATGATTTGAAATGTGCGTGTAAAACTGTACTCTTCTTTGTGAAACCAAATGTTCTGCTTCGTTTTTACTCTGTTACACCCAGATACAACATACAAACAAAAACGCCAGATTTGGGGCAGATGGGTTGTACTGGAATGGTATTCCTTCGCTACTCGGCACAACCTCTACTTGTAAAGACTGTGCTGTAGAAATTATACTTGCAGAGGAGGGTGCAGGGGAAGAGAAGAAATTAGGACTCCAGAAAAAAGCTTCTCTCTTTAACTTAATTTGACTGAGATCATGCAGACCCCTGGCATTAACTGATCTTGGTGTCACACCCCCTGAATTGATGAAGCTGAGACTCCCAAGGCATCAGACTGGATGGTTTCTGTACCAGCTCCGTCTCCCACAGCTCATTCAGAAAAGACATTCTGATATACCTGAAGCACATCTGGGAAAGTCAAAACCCTAAACTGAGTTTCACAAAAAAGAACTAAGGAAAGGTTTTCACCTGTATCTTTTTAATATAGTTTTTCTTGTTCAGTATTTAAGCATAATTTTGTGTTTCTTTCCAGAGAAAATCCGTACCCATACCCTTTTCACCCCTTTACTAACTGCATTTGGAGTCGCTGCAGGACTGATGTGCATCATAGTCATGATCCTGGTGTATGTATATTTGCAGGTAAATTCTGAAGCCCTTCTGCCTGAGTTAGAAAAGTGTGCGAGCTGCCTGTGGAGGCTTCTGTAGTGACAGCCAATCTCTTTCTTTTCCAGAAACCCAAATACGAAGTTCAGTGGAAAGTTGTTGAGGAAATAAATGGAAACAACTATGTTTACATAGACCCAACACAACTTCCTTATGATCACAAGTGGGAATTTCCAAGAAACCGTTTGAGTTTTGGTTAGTTTAGGTTTATTTAACTTTATCTGCAAGGTGAAACCTCCAGGTCTCATAGGAGACTTTGGTCAAATACAGCAGGGTTTTGTCAAAAAGATGTTGTGCAATAATCCAGATAGTGATAATTGCTCATTCTTACCTTGGGACAAAAAGCAAGCAGGCGCATCTGCAATAGCTTCTTTGATATCAAAAAATAAAATGTTGAGCCCTTCAGGAGGAAGTACTCCAAGTCATTACAGAGTATTTTGTTTGCCTTGCTAGGTAAAACCCTTGGTGCTGGAGCTTTTGGAAAAGTTGTTGAAGCCACTGCTTATGGTTTATTTAAATCTGATGCTGCTATGACAGTAGCAGTAAAGATGTTGAAAAGTAAGTTACTGTAGTATACTCACCAATTTTTTCTCTCTTCTATCTGGTCGGTGTGTTATGTACTGAACATTGTGCTTTGCCTTGCAGCAAGTGCCCATTTAACAGAAAGAGAAGCCTTGATGTCAGAGCTTAAAGTGCTGAGTTACCTTGGAAACCACATTAATATTGTGAATCTGCTTGGAGCTTGCACTATTGGAGGTGGGGCTATCAACACATTATTGATTATTTCTGTTCCTTTTTTATTACCAGGAGGATGAACCTTGTGACAAAGAATCCAAGATGCTGGTTATAAGAAATCTTAAATACATTCCATGCTTAGACAGGTTGCAGATCATCATGAATATCACCTGTGATTTAGGAATCCAGATTTTAGCCTCATCCTAAAACCAGTAGTAAGACCACTGTAGTTGCAGCTAAACAGGAAGGTTGCTTTTATTGTCTTTCATATGAACCATTGTGTGCTTTCTTCTTGAGATATGACATAATGTACAGTATAAATTTTTTCTCTCACGCACTCTTTCTCATTAGTGAGAACTGGTGTCTTGTTGGTATCCATGTTGAAGTCAACAGGCCTCTCTTGTATAGTCTTCCAGTCTTCTGTTTAATCTGCAAATGTGTCTGCGAAGGCACCACTCAAGTTACAAATTCTAAGCAGCAGAAAGTTGAGAAAAATAATTTTCCAAATAAAGTATTGCACAACCCTAATGTTTCACATTTAATATTAACTTAATAAGTTTGTTTTCATACATAATAAAAGCTACAAAACATCTGAAGTGTTAATACAGAATGATAGAGACCTGTACTTTTAATAGCTGTGCATTTTAATATGAAAGATGGCGTTGCTTCTTACTCAAATATATGTTCTTTAAGTTTCTGCTTAATTTTTCCAAGAAAAGGAGCTTGTAAAAATTCATAGTTTCAGACAAAGGCAAAACATTTCTCACATTTAATGATTTAAAAATAGAATGAAACAATTTTGTTCAAGCAGTCAACAAAGTAGAATCACTGGCCTAAGTGCATGTGTCTCAGCTGAAAAAAATGTGGTGTTTGTGAGAAAACCCTGCCAGAAACACTGTTTTTGCTATTATGAAAGCTATGGTTTTTAACTGCAAAAAAATGGAAATAAACTAGTGAGGTTAGGAAACAATGGTACAGAATAAACTCAGAGATGAAATAACGCAATGCAATTACATATTCAAGATCCATAGCTGGAATCATTCACTCAGAAGACACATATTTGATCTATAAACATCCGTGCTGAAGATGACTTGATTCTCTTTTCTGATTTCATTTTAATATTCTAAGACCTTGTGCAATGTAGTTCTCTGTCGCAGCAGGCTGTTCTGTTTGAATGATTTTTCCTATTATACTGCAGAATATAACACTCTACATCATTTCCAAAACATTACTGAAGGAGTGTGAAGCTCTACTGTAAACACAAGTGAATCAAAAGGATTAATGTTTGAAGCTTGAATTACTCTTAACGTTTGGAACAAATAACTTCCTTCAGGAAGTGAGCAAAATCAAACAGATGTGTCTGGCCAGAAACATTATCACACGAAGAAAGAGAAAAAGACTTGTTTGTTTAATTTTTGTACAGTGTAATGCTATTGAGGGGCAGAAAATTAATTGGGACACAGCTTTAGCTGGACCATGGTTGTTCATTTGTGAAAGGGAAGATGCTGGGTTACATTTCTATAACTTTTCAAGTCTAGACAGTGCTAGGCAGTGTGATTTTTTTTTAATAGTCCAGCCTGTGTGCTTCACTGAATGCTGTCTTTATGTAGGGTTTACTGCTTTGAAAACAATATTCACCAGCTTTATAAACCTTACATGCATCTACAGGTCCCACTCTGGTCATTACAGAATATTGCTGCTATGGTGATCTTTTAAATTTTCTGAGACGGAAGCGAGATTCATTTATTTGCCCAAAACATGAAGAACACGCAGATACAGCAGTTTATGAGAACCTTTTGCATCAGGCAGAGCCTGCAGCGTAAGTATGACCTGCTGAAATGTACTTGTGTTTTTAGAAGATTGGGAAGGAGGAGATATCAAAGTTTGTTAGAGATAAGAGGTGTGGAGAAACCTTTCATGAAACAGGCTTTGAATATTCTTTGCTGCACAAGGAAGCAATTCAATTAAGAGATAATTTGTACAGTCGGTGGTTTATTCTAACAGAGTGCAATTGACTGTATACACTCTCTGTTTTATTTCTTTATCAAATTTTCTGCAGTTATTTTATGCACTTCCTTGGTTCCAATCTTCATATGTATTTGTATTTGCTGTTCCCATTTAACACTGGCAGTGCTCATTTAGCAGCATGAATTACAATTCCTCCGGTGTTGGGATGTTAGTACTCTGAACTCTACCGAGTTCCTGCCTTCAGAAATTACTTTTACAAAATCAAACCAGTGCCTTACAGTGTCTGAGGCAGGCTACTACTCACAGCTCACTACATTTTGTGATGAAACAACCCGTTGTCACAATTCTGAGATTGCTCTTGTACTTTGTTTTTTTTCCAGTTATTTCATCTGTATATTTTTAACTGCTCCATTTTAGATACCATCCCAGGGTTGTTCTAAGTGCATTTCCAAGCAGACTTCCTTCCCTTTGCAAAGTGAGGGAGAAATAACTTACCAAAACCTAGAGTCTGTTACAATACCTGCCCATTCTTAGTCTATTTATTGCCACAGTGGGCCCATTACTTTGTTGGCAGACACAAAAGAACCAGGCAGACCCATAGGACATGGTAAAGTCCTTTGTCCCAGTAACATAGTACTGTTTGTGCCATGGCAATAGATGGATAGCTGGGGATGCCCCATAGGGGTTGAGGTCCCTGAGGTGATGAACATAAAGCTGTGATTTGCCATTGGAGGTGTGCCCTCTTCAGTGAAGGGATCTCACTGTTTGAGCACATTTTATAAATTGAGTTATTAATAGGAGATTATTTACCAAATACTCATATTAGTATTTACTGTAAAGTTGTACCTGGTGAATAATATATCAAAGATGTTTCTGATGGTAACTAAAACTGTTGGTGATCTCATTGCTCCTTTCCATGTTAGCTCTCTGGCTGCATTTATTGGACATAAACTAAACACATATGTCAGGCTAAGGAAGTATATGAGTTCTAATGACAATGAAGTGAAAAATGCCAAAGTACATCCATCATTTCTAAAGGTGCCTAACTACTTATTTATAAATCATACAGTATGAAAATCTGTACATTTGAATTATACAGGGCAGTAAGGAAATTTAGATTTCAAAGAATGTAGCAGATGGCTATCCCAAGCCTCAGCTGATTTTTTGAAATACATATGAATCCCCTATGGAACTTGAGAATCTCTGCATTTAACATTTTTTACTGTTTGTATTCCACATTTCAATTGCCAATTGAGCTGCTGAAATATTCTGGTAGAAGTTGGCCTAAGCAGAAGAAGGAAGCATTAGCAGATCCTGTGAAACATCTGGATGTTATTTTATAGAGAGTGAAATTTGTATAAACAGTATTCATGTGAAAGATTTTGTTTGCTCACCTGAGCCAAACTCCAAACTTTGAGATGTATCATTAACTGTATTGTCAAGCCTCTCTTTCTGTACAGGCATTTCCTCATCTTTTTCACGCATCCATTAGTTTCCAATCTACTGATGATTTGTAAAGCAATATATTCAGAAGGTTGGCATGACCTTGGCTTTTTGTTTGGATGGCTGTTGAGACCTTTTTCACTAAACCATGTTTCATTTGATCTGCTGCCTTTACAGTGATGCTGCCAATGAGTACATGGACATGAAACCAGGAGTGTCATATGCAGTCCCACCAAAGGCTGATAAGAAACGACCTGTGAAGTCCGGTGAGTTAAGTGACAAGGAATTCTGTTTGCTGGTGGGAGTGCAGAAAGAGGGGCTTCATAGATTTTTTCAGTTTTATCATACTTGTCTCTCATGAATGGGGGCAATTAAAACTCAGTAATTGGTATGAGAAGGTGTGAAAAAGAACAATATGCTAAATTACAGTGTCTTGTATTTCTCCACACTTAAATGGAGTATCAGGTGATGGGCTATTTATGTGACTCTAGACTAGTACTTACTCAAATAACTCTTTTGTTTAACGTTAACACAACTCATGTTTCTACATGATTGCACTTGCTCAACTCAAAAGCTGTTTTTGTTTATATTCTGTAGGATCCTACACTGATCAGGATGTTACCCTTTCTATGCCGGAAGATGATGAACTTGCTCTAGATGTTGAAGATCTGCTAAGCTTTTCTTACCAGGTGGCAAAGGGCATGAGCTTCCTTGCCTCCAAAAATGTAAGTTAAGAATTTTTCAGAGCTGGACAGAACCAATATTTTTTTTTATCTTCTTTAGCATCACTTTCAGTGTTCTAATGTGATCCATGTGTTTAAATGCCGAATATTTCTATGTTCTTTTCAACAAGCACTGCAAACTGGTACACTCCCTCTCATACCTGAAGCTTTGCCTAATGGTGGAGTTCCATACTGTGCTTATTGGCCAAAAGTGATGTTTTATATGCCATAAAACAGAATATAGGGTGCACAGTAGTCAATGTGAAGCAGTGCTATTGTATATCCACAGTTCAGGCTAGTAGAATCAGTGCAAAACTATCTATTTGCATGAGTTTTAAACAGTGCTGCACCTGCTACTTCTCTCATGTAGAATACTGCCATAAACAGGGGAGCTATCACGTTATGTGCTTTTTTTGTACGCATGGCTTAATTCACAGGAGATGTCTTGATGTTTAATTTTCTGGAAAGATAAAATCAGCTGAGAGACCCACAAAGAATCTTTTTTGGCTACGCTGAGCATAATAGACATTTCTCTGGGTTTCTTAGGAGAGGTATTGCATAACAGAAAGGGATTTATAAAGAATAGGAGTCTTAAGTACAGCATAATTAGGATTTTCCAATGGTTATTCTCACATTTTATTGGAAAAATGCCATTTAACATGTAAACACTGTAACTAATGTAGACGCAGGATACTACAGGTGCACCTAGGATAAAATGCAAAACCAAATTTAGGCAATTTAAGGAAAGAAAGGTAATCCTGGAGTCCTGTGTTACTATTGGGAAATGCATCTCAAATTCTGCTGCAAGGAAAGTGCACAGTAAAACTTGCTTTTGCACTTGTTTTTTTTCTCCCACTGTTCCTTCTTCCAAACCAAACCATAAACTTCTCTTTAGTTTATTTTTCATCTATCAACAGGTTCAAAACAGGCCTGACATGCAAACGTATTATGTTACAGATTTTAATGATGTTCACCATGCTCCTGCATCCTTCACTATTCAGAACATCCGGTGCTGAGCACACATATTCTGTATTTCTTCTATTTTCCTATAAAGTAGCCCCAGGATTCACTATATATCATTCCCAGAAGACTTTTTCTTCATAGTCTTTCCATTTTCACAAACAGACACAGTGGCGTTGAGTAGCAAAGGCAATAATGAATGTAACATCACCTCACTTCACTTTGAGATTGGGAAGTAATGTGCAGTATCACTTTGGCAGTGCAGAATTAACAGCTATATCAAGAATTAAGTTGCAGTGTGCTAACATGTTAGTCTGCTTGGTCCTCTTTAGTCGTTGTGTATGTACATGCATTTAGCTTCAGCTAGGTAATGCAGAGTAGCGTGGGCTGATGGACAAGGTGCCTCAGATCGCCTCAAGTCCTCGAGGAAGGAGGGTCCATGCAGACCTGCAGTGCAGAGTACCCAGCTGCACTTCTGCAATTTCCTTGCCTATGAAGTCTGTGCAGGAGTCGGTGCAGGAGCTTGTTCTGGGAGGGTAATTGCCTTAAGCACATGATGCCTTAATCACAAGACAGGGCTTCCTCTGTTGGACAAAGTCTTTATTCAATGCAAACTGCACTGATTCTGGAGGAGCAAGGCAGAGTCATACGGATGCTTGGCCATTTCATCGCCATCCTGCTTCAGAGCGGTTATGTTCTCAGCTTTATATATACGAAGTGCAGAATATGTTACATAAGGAGCTGAACAAGAGTCCTCTGAGACAGTAGTTGTCATTAAAAATACTTCCTTGTGTAAGCATGCTAAAGCGGCTGCAGGTTGCTTATGCAATTTGCAGTTATTTTCTGAGCTTGATTTGTGTAACTCTTGATATTTTAAGTCATTTTTAGTAGGGAATTCTGAAAGCTTTGTATTTCAAGGAAAAAAGAAAAATTGAACTATCTTCAGGGTTTTTTTAGATAGATGTCACCTGTGTACTATATGCCATTTGTAAAGCAGAAGCTTAATACTCTCCTTTCCAGATGGAGAAAGAAATCATTTTGTTAGAGAACCATGTCCATTCCCTAACAAACACACAGGGACTCCACAGTTGCATACAAAGAAATACAACTTCTGGGAAACTCAGGCAGTCTTCTGTAGCTGCGCACGTCTCAAGTGAAAACTGGAATATAAGCTAGCTAGGTCACAGAATGCATGACTGTCCACTGAAAGACATTGGAATGTGAAAATTTCCAGTATTTTCAAATATTTAGGTCTGCTTATAAAGCTTTCCTAGGTATTTAGTAATTCAGGTTTTCCAGAGAAGTATTTCTGAAATGGAATTCGGTTTAATGTTTGTGTGCTTTGAAGTTGTTACCATAATTTTCCCTATTTTCAGCTTTGCAGCATTTTCCCCTCAACCACAATAGTTATTTAATAGACTATTGGAATTATTGTGGAAACAAACCACATTTCCCCCCTATTTCTCCTTTATTAGGAAGTAAGCCAGTGATGATTTTGATAAAAAAGAGGGGAAAAATGCATTATATTTTAGCTGAAAATGTGGAACACTGAAAAATTCAAAGTGACTGCAAGTGGTCTTTTCTAAAATAAATGCATAGACAACCTCAAAGACATGGATCAATGTCATGATTGCAAAGATACTACACCAGAATGTTTAATCATCTGAGTAAGCTTATTAGCACATGGCTTTCAGCTTGCCATAAAATGCATAATGTAGTAACTTATATAGCTAAGTAAACATGTAACCAAGCAACAGCCATTTAAAGATATTATAAAATAGCTTTGTTTGTTTTTCTGTTTGTTATTTAGTGCATTCACAGGGATCTGGCCGCAAGAAATATTCTTCTAACTCATGGTCGAATCACAAAAATCTGTGATTTTGGCCTGGCAAGAGATATAAGAAATGACTCAAATTATGTGGTCAAAGGAAATGTAAGTATATATGATACTTTATCCACTTGTTTTAAGTTAAAGGAGTTCCTGTTGTCTTGACAGGCAAAGAAAAGTGTTTCTTAGTTAAATGGAAATCTGGATTTCCCAGTTGTGGCATATATCCGTGTTGGTCAGGAAGGTTAGGAGGGGCAATTTCTGACATAATGTGCTGACAAAACCTGGGGTATATGCATGTTGTTGTACTGGAGTACCGATGAAACCTCTAGAGGGGTACAAAGACACTTTGAAGTGATGCACATTACCTTGGCAGCACTTGAAGTCCTTTTTAAAGTGCTAGTCCAGTAAAAAGAGTCCTACTGCAAAAGAAAGTTGAGCTTTTCTGTCGTTAAGCTGGAGAAGTGTGTATAAAGTGTAGGTATTTTGCATCTCAAACTGATTTATGCTGCTTGGATTACTTAGTCTGTGTCATATAGGTGCAGCCAGCTGCTGCCTTCAGACTACACATGCTTTCACTTGAACTGTTTTTCAAAGGAGAGAAGATGCAGCGAGGCAGCTCTCCTCCCCAGCCCAGCTGAGGGCTCCGTGTTCAGTGGCTGGTCATTAGTTAGGGATGTGACAACAAAGGAACTGAAGCTTATGTGGCCTGTCTTAGGGCAAACTGATAAAGAGAGAAAAATCCCACACCTGAGCATCTATCACCGAAGGGGTGTGCCACATTCAACTTGAGACAGTCCATGGCACCTCAGGTGTTTGAGATATCTGCTCTTCTGCTGTCACCCAGCAGGCCTTTATGTCTCAGGCCCTTATCAGCTATGGAAGAGACGGGTCTATTAGTTTTCTTCAAAACAATGTTGGCAGCAGCCACTGGTTGCTTAGAAGTTGGGATGAGGGAACAGTAGGAGCTGAAATAATTCAGGAATGGCTGCCCTGACGAAATACTGGGTAGCATTTAGTGTAAGAAAGCTGCTTTCAGGCTCAGGGGTCAGGTCAGGAGCTTCTTGATCAGCAAAGGCTCCTGGTAATAGGAGGTTCAGACTAGCAGCTCAGGAGGGAAATGTGCTATAGATAATTAATTTTTACTTGTCTAGGCTATCCTTTAAGTTTCCTGAGTTCACAGAATTACAGAATCATAGAAGGACCTTCAAAGAACATCCAACCCCCCTGCCATGAACAGGGACATCTTTTGCTACACCAGATTGCTTAAAGCTGCATCCAACTTGACATTGACCATTTGCAGTGATGACATATCCACCACATTTCTGGGCTACGTGTTCCAGTGTCTCACCACCCTCCTTGTAATTTTTTTTTTCTTTGTTTCTAATCTAAATTTATGCCCTTTGAGTTGAAAACTTATCCTGTTACTACAAGCCCTGATAAAAAGTCCCTCTCCATCTTTCTTATAAGCCCCCTTTATATAATTAAAGGCTGCAGTGAGGTCTCCCTGGAGCCTTCTCTTCTCCAGACTGAACAACATCAACTCTTTCAAACTTTCTTCATAGGAGATGTCTTCAAGCCCTCTGATCGTTTTCATGGCACTCCTCTGGACTTGCTCTAACATGGCCACAGTCATTCTTGCACTGGGAATCCCAGAACTGATGAGTCATGCAAAAATATTTATTAGTAGGCTCAGTTTGCTTTGGCAAAACTTATCAAAGAGTTGCCTGAGAACAGGATTTTACATAGCCAGAAAGGGTGAGAGGAGGACATGCTGCAACTGCCTGGGGAGAGAGGAAGCAGTGGCTTCAGGAGGCGTCTAATTGCAGCTGGTATGATCTTAAAGCAGATTGGGGCTGTGGCATCATTAGCTGTGGGCACTGCTTGGGAAGCAGTGCTGCTGACAGCAGCTGGGTGCTTGGCCAAGAAACATTTTAGCTGGAAACAAACAGCTCTGGTGAGCCATCCCTTGGCACGTGCTGCCTTTCCTCCACTTTGCTTCTTTTCCTCTCCATTTTCCTCCTTTTCTGTTTGGTCTCCTTTCCTTACAAGACATCAAGGCTATTCTCTGTGGTATGGTTGAAATGTATCTTTGGACACATTGTTGCAAGACCATTTGAAATGAAGAGGTCTGGTTTCTTCTAAAGCAGGACAAATGAGATTAGCTTAGTTGGTTAGAGCATGTTGCTAATGACACCAAGGTTGGGGGTTTGATCCCTGTATGGGCCATTCACTTAAGAGTTGGACTCAATGATCCTTGTGGGTCCCTTCCAATTCACAATATTCTGTGATTCTGTGAATTGATGAAATGTTTAGGACAGTTAAGGACTGGCTTCTACAGTCAGACAAGGAAAGGGCAAAGCAAGGAGAGGAAGGTGAAAGCAAATGCAAAGTGTCCTTTCTTCTGCTCCAGTTAGCATTCATGAGGGATGTGTCTATCCCCACACAAACTTAGGAAAAATCACAGAATCATAGAATTGTAGGTTGTAAAAGACCTTTAATGTCATTGAGTCCAACCGTTAACCCAGCACTGCCAAGTCCACCACTAAACCATGTCTCTAAGCCCCACATCTACAAATCTTTGAAATATGTCCAGGGGTGGTGACTCCACCACTTCCACAGGCAGCCTGTTCCAATGCTTGACAATCCTTTTAGTAAAGCACTTTTTTCCTGATATGCAATTCAAACCTCCCCTGGCTCAAGCCAAGGCCATTTTCTGTGGGCCTGTCTCTTGTTACGTTGTAGAAGAGACTGTTCCCCACCTTGCTATGGTCTCCTTTCAGGTAGTTGCAGAGAGCACTAAAATCCTTGTAAGATTTATGTTCCAGACCCTTCACCAACTTTATTACCCTTCTCTGGAAACACTCAAGCACTTGAATGTGACCTCACCAGTGCTGAGTACAGGGGGATGATCACTGCCCTGATCCTGCTGTCCACACTATTTTGGATACAGGCCATGATGCCATTGGCTTTCTCGACCATCTGGGCACACTACTGGCTCGTGTTCAGATGACAGTCGACCAACACCCCCAGATCCTTTTTTGCTGGGCAGCTTTCCAGTCACTCTTCCCCAACCCTGTAGCACTGCTTGGGCTTGTGGTGACCCAAGTACAGGACCCAACACTTGATCTTGTTGAACCTCATACAGCTGGACTCAGCCCATCAATCCAGCCTGTCCAGATCCCTCTGCAGAGCCCTTCTGCCCTCCAGCTGATCAACATTCCTGGCCCAAATATACATGTTAATATATATATGAATTCTAATTTGTCTACTCATAGACTGAGGGACCCCTGGTGGCCTAGTGGTTAGGATGCGGCACTCTCACCGCTGCGACCCAGGGTCGATTCCTGGTCCCCCAGGCAGATGGAGCTCATTAGCCCTGTGAGGCCATCCATCTGTGAGAAGGTCACTCTAAACAAACCTACGTCCTGAGGACCTCACTGCCATTGTCCAAGCTCGCTTGGCCCCGGCAGATGAACCTTAGGATTAAAGGGTGGGCTCAGTTCAGCGCATGCTGTGTCTCACCTAAAAAATCCATTGCGCAGGCTGGAAAGGTAAAAGACCTTTCCCAAAATCTTCGTTCACGAAGACTGGCCATACACTCATAGACTGAGGAGCTAAAGCAGATTTATTGACTGTTGATTAAAGCCTCAAAGTGTCTTGACTATGTGAATCTCATCTATGTGCCTATGGCAGCTAGTCCACGAAAGTAGACTCGCATGTTTGATTGAAGAACCATGTCACAGTCATTTATATTATTTTCCTCAGACTTCCTGTTACCCTTTATTAACTAGACAGAGGGAATCCAACAGTGTCCAAGAAATCAAGCAATGTAGTGCAAGCAACTACATTCGTTCAGTAGACCCACAGAAAGGTAGACCAGTAGTGATGCAGCACTTGGAGACTCTACATTGTTAAGATTTTCATTTTTGTTGGATATTTCTACTTCTTGATTTTACAAGCATTTAAAGCACATAAAAATAGAAAAGGTTAATTTTATCTTGTAAATTCTGTCTGCCTTATGTCCAATGTCTTAATTTATTCCCTTTTCCCTGGAAAGGCTCGTCTTCCTGTGAAGTGGATGGCACCCGAAAGTATTTTCAATTGTGTCTACACCTTTGAGAGTGACGTGTGGTCTTACGGGATATTGCTTTGGGAGCTCTTTTCTTTAGGTAAGCTCCTTGAAGATCTGTACTTCAGATCTGTTTCATTTTGGGGTTTACTGGAGATGCAGAAATCACATTGCTCATCTGCTTTCTCAACAGGAAGCAGCCCTTATCCAGGGATACCTGTGGACTCCAAGTTCTATAAAATGATCAAGGAGGGATACAGGATGTTTAGCCCTGAGTGTGCACCGCCTGAAATGTAAGCAAGCAATCAGCACCTCTAATCATCTAAATATCAGTAATGATGCATTCTTGCATTAAGGCTCATTGCACTGCCCCATTGTCTTTTTTTTTAAGTTCTTTTCATGTTTTAAGTAATTCATGTACTCTAACGAGCAGAATACATGCATGTGTTACAAGCAATGAAATACACTCATGCCTTGTGCCATCTGATCACTTTTTCATGGCATCTGCTCTGTGTCAATAAATTACTGACAGATCACAGTACATAATTAAACATTTTTACTTCAGATAAAGTCAGTGAGATGTATCACCAGACTGTACAGCATCTGCATTTGTGCTGTACTTCCTGACAAGAAGGACTGGCAAGAGGACTGGCTACTGATCTTCATTAGCTATCCCTAATTCACTGTTTTGTAAATGGATTGGCATTTAGCAAGGTGTCAAAGAAAACTGTGTCCAGAGCCTCCTATTAGTATCGAGTCTTCCCTTGTCACAAGCACAGGTGTTAGCAACACCATTCCTGTTCTTAAAAGTTGTTTAAAGAAGATGGGACTGGGTCACACTTTTCTTTAAAATGATAATGGAGGCAGGATAAAAGCTCTAAGGACTTCCTCATGAGCAGTACTTAATTTCAGTATCTTTACAGGTATGACATAATGAAGAGCTGCTGGGATGCTGATCCTTTACAAAGACCCACATTTAAACAAATTGTACAGATGATAGAGCAGCAGCTTTCAGATAATGCCCCCCGGGTAAGTTATGGATCAAGCAGTTTCAAGCAAGATGTTATACTAGAGCAGAGAGCCCAGGCACTTATTTCCAGTATTATTTATGTAGCTTTGCACTGTCAGTTTGAGTTGTAGGAATGATATCTGGGCGACTCACTTCTGCTTGGCTGTATCATTAGGCAGTAGTTGGCTAAGCCCACACCAAAAATGTACCAGCTGGAGGAGACTCTTTGCATGATTGATGTTTCTCACTCAAAATAGACCTGTCACAACAATTTTGATGTTACAACATGCAATTGTACTACATAAATTCTTTTATCCTGAACTATGAAAAATTCTATTAATCTGGGAAACAGAAATGAAGTATGTTTAACTTTTATTAGAAATGTTTTCTGGATGAAGAGGTGGAGCTTTCGGTGCACCTCTGCATCTTCTCACTTGCCTTCCTTAGTTCTATTTATATGACCTTGGAGGTATGTCATGACAAACTGTATTTGCTGCTCTTTTGACGGTTCCTGAGTAAAAGCTTATTCTGAGTGGGTTAACTGGACAAAACAGTCTAAAGAAAAATTGGAGGCACATGAAAAACTTGGATTTCTCTCTCCATAACTTTGTGTGTTATTGGGGTTTGAAAAAGTATGTTTTAAAACCTGGTTTAAAAATAAAGCTTCCCTTTACCTTCTGGATGCCTTGTTTAGGCACAGAGTACATGGCTTCCTGACAATTTGAGAAAAGAGGAAACTGAAAGCTGCTGGTGTTCAATTGCATCCTGTAGTGTATTTTTGGCAGGTGCAGGCATTACTAAAACAAAAGCAAGAATGTGAAGGAAGTATTAGTGAGGTTTCTGGGGGAGTTTAGTAATAACCTGAGCTGTGTTTTTTCGAGTTCAGTTGAAATTTGGCATGCAGTTTGAAGCTGTGGTGTTGTTGAGATTGAGATTCTTGTTTCTTTAAAAGAGCAGTTAAGCCCAAGACCTTTTGAAACTATTTTGGTTTGAAACACCTGAGCTGGAACCCTTCCATGACGGTGTGTAGCGTGAAAAGGCTAGGAAAGGAGAGCTCTCCAAGAAGGCATGAAGGGAGCAGTCTGCAGAGTACTGACACCAGTCTTTGGCTTCTACAGGTTTATGCCAACTTCTCAACCCCACCTTCCAGTCAAGGAAACGCTCCAGATCACTCAGTGAGGATTAACTCAGTGGGTAGCAGTGCTTCATCTACTCAGCCTCTCCTGGTACGCGAAGATGTTTGAGTGGCTCCTCTGAAGAAGAGGAGCTCAGAGCTGTTTGTATTGTGCAGGGGGTGAGAGAGGAACGACTTCAATATTTTCTCTTACTTTTACTCACTACTACCACTGTGTAGCTGAAACATTGTTGTAATACTGTCCTTTACCATGCACTGTTACACATAAACTTAATCTGCTGAGCACGGTTACAGGCATCATTACAGTGTTAACTGAAGCTGTATATATTTTGCTGTGTTGTGTGTATTTGCAGTAGAGAGCCAGATGTGAAGGAAAAACCAACCAACAAAAGAAATCCTGAGCCAGGATATGGAATGAGATGAATGTAGATCAAACCAAATCTGCAGTGATCCTTCTCTGGATCTGTGCCTGGAATGCGTACAGTCATTTTCTAGTTAATCTTGTTTTGCTGAATTTAAGAAATAAACAAATATTAAGTTAATGGCTTTGCAAACCCCTTTCCACGTCCAGCCAAGCCCGAGAAGCTTTCCCTGGCAGGTATCATAGATTGGAGGCCGGTGAGGGCACTGTATGTACCTGAGAAAGAGGGGTGAATGGACCAAGACCCTTCCAAAGTTCATCTGCACAGCTGGAAACCCTCCTGGGAGGTCTGGGGTTTGAACCAGAGGAGAAGGGAAAAAGAGTATGGATCTTCATCTTTTTTTCCCACCTGCACTGTCAGCCTTGCAAACCACTTGCAAGATTTCCATGGATATATGCACTACTTCCCACTGGCGCATTCCCTGCCGGGATAAAGCTGCCCATCATTGGGTCTCACTCCACCGTGGAGGCTGAACCATTCCTGTGCCCTCCTGTCTTGAGAGCCCAAGGGCTTTGATGTTTGTTTTGCTAATAGTTATGTCTAAAAGTGTTCACCAAAGATTAGTGGCCCTGCCAAATTGGTCAAAATAGAGGAGGAGGGCTGCTTCCAATAAACTGTGTGTTTGGAGGAGAGGCCGTTTAACGAGTCATCTTATCTAAGTCAGAGCAGAGCCAAAAATTTCTCTCCTGGGGGCCCTTTCTTTATCTTGTCCTACTGAGGTGAATTCTTCCCACAGGCAGTCTTGGATGGTGCTAACTGGAAAGGGCTATTTTCCCCACCCTGAGTTGTTTGATCTTTCCATGGTAGTCCAGAGAGGGTAATAAGGAAGAGTCTAACTGGGGAGTGCTGAATTTATAAATGGGATAAAAGAAAGAATCCCTTCAGTTTTCCTTGACACACAGGAGGCTTTGGGGTCAGCATCTGTTGAGCCCAGGGTTGGGCTCAAGTATTTTCTAACCCCTTTTATTCTCATCAGGAGCACTGCTAGTTCTTTTCTTCCTTTGTTTCTGACCCCTAGAAATATGTATTGGCATTGAGAGAAGCATTCATCAGAGGCAGAGTACTAGTTGAGTACCTATTTATTTACAATGCACTTAAGCACTCTGTAACTTTTACTTTACCAGGATTTTGGTTGAGTTTACATGCAATTCAAATGTATAACTAACTGCCCAAATACAAGGTAAATACACACACTGGTGGTATATTTTGGGTTACATCGAATACCACGCTCCTCCTATGACTGTGCATTTGGTTTATTGTTACAGAAATCTGTCTTTCAGAGTTTAGTCAAAAATTAGCCATTTGCACTGAACTTAGGCTGTTGCACCTTTCCAAAGTTAGCCATTTGTTTGGATGCACTCTTGTGCATACTTGTTGAGCATTTTCAGTTTAATGCTATAAAAGCTCTTTTGTAACGTGTTGGCTTTCAGAGCAATTGTAGACAAACTAGTTGTTATAGATGTCTCGGTACTTTACAGACACTTAGCTGAAAGAGGTTTGGGTTTTTTTCGTTCTTGAAATTTATATTTTTATAATTTTGGGGTTTTTGAAACTTATTTTGCAATGGCTTGGTGTTTTGAATGGGTTTATGCATTGTTTTTGTAAATATGGAAATGTAGCAATAATGTCCTTTTGACTATTCTCAGTCTTTGAGTCTCAAAAATATTTTTATATATATATATATGCAAAAGCTATATGTATAAAAATGTGTTTGAAAGTTTATTAAACACTTATGGATATGTTGCTCAGTTGTAGAATTGCAGTTCAGAAAAGTTCAAATAAATCTGTAAATACATATTCAAATGCTACTGATGTGTACCTATGTTAAGATGGACTATTTTCATGTAAGTCTTAATAAATTCTTGGGGTGAAGCAAAATCTCAGTGTCTGGCCACACACAGTTCAAGTTTGGCATTCTGAAACATTTTTGCAAATATGTGCCAGACAACCTTACTGTGTATTTGTTATGTAAGTTCTTTACCTGTGAATATATGGGACAAATACTTGGATACAGCTTTATTCTGGAAAAAATTGCAATTAGAAGATTGATCCTGTCATCTGTTGATGCAGTCTATGTGTCATGAACAGTACTTAAAACAAAGATATCTCAGTGTTATTAAGAGTATGGTTGCAGAGACAGCTGGAGCCACTCAAAGGCTGCAGTGATACTGAATATTTCCCCTTCCTTAAACACATGTACATGCTCTTGTCCCCTCCTGCACGCTGGCACTAAGCTCAGGCTAGGCTGGCTGAGTGCAGCACTGCAGGGGAGGCAGCAGGAAATAACTGGTGCTGCTTCAGACCCCCCTTGGAGGGGAGGTCATAAAGATGCTTCCCTTGCTGAGCAGGTACCTTGTGTCTTAGTGGGAGACCCTCTGCTTTAGTTACTCCAGGTTTGAAATCTGTGAGTGCCCTACTCACACTTGTTCACGTGCTGCATAAGAGTTTTCATAAGCCTGGTTGGTGCATGGTTTAATAGTAGATATAGAGCATATAAGCATAAGTTTCTACATACCAAAATCCTTGCTATTTCACACGAGAGACTGACTTCAGCTGTTTTGGTCCTTAAACATTTCTGTCAGCAGACCTCCTTGCTCTCCTCCTTTAGTTTCCTCTGTTAAACAGCTTCCTTTTTTCCCTTTTTTTTTTCTTCCACTTAGGTCTTCACTCTGTTTGTTAAAACTAATTAAGGAAATTAAAACCTAATTTTGCCAGGAACCAGGAGGTGCAGGCTTTGCCCCAATTAGCATTGTCATTGTTTCTAGCAATGCTTCAGAAGATACCAAGATTGTGTCTGTTTTGGACCCATTTTTTTCCTGTCTTGTCCACCCCCCCCATTCAAGCAGAGTTCAGTTCATGCTGAGGGATTCCAGTAGCTGAATTGTACAAATAATCTGTGAGTTCTCGTTTAGCGTAGCCAAAGGAGCTATTTTATGTATTTATTTGGTTAGCGCATCATTAATTTTATTTTCCTGAAATGTTTCCCCTTCTGAAACACCCTAGGATATGGCATCTCCGCTTTCTGAAAGAATCTTACTCTATTTTCTTATTACAATGTTCACAATGATTACTGCCTCTGTCCCTGCTCATGATCACACAGCCCATTTCCCCTAATTATTTTATTGTGCCAGTTCTAAGCAATAGCTTACATGGAAAAGCACATCAGGACAACATTTAATATGTATTTTATCTGTCCTTCAAGGCACTATTGTGCCCAGATATAAAAAGCAACCAGCACCATGTTACTTGCATGGACCATCATGGATCAAGTATCTGAAAGGAAGGTTCAAAGAAGACTGATTCAGCTCTTTTCTTTTTCAGCAACACTGAAATCATTGTCACTGATTTCAGTGCTCAGTGACAGGACCACAGGCAGTGGGCACAAATGGTTCCCTCTCAACATCAGTAAACACTTTTTTTTTACTGTGAGGGTGACCAAGAACTAGAACAGATTGTCCCAGTGGTTATGGACTCTTTATTCTTGGAGATACTAAAAAACCATGTGGAAATAGTCCTGGGCAATGGGCTCTAGGTGTCCCTGCTTGAGCAGGGGAGTTGGGCCAGATGACCTGGCTTACAACATCAACCCTTCCGTGATTTTGCAATCAGCTAGGGCCCTTTGGAGAATCTTGACTGTAAAGTGCACTTAGCCAGAAGTAGAAAAGAAAATCCTCACCTTATGCTGAACACTAGGGAGTGACTTGTCCTTTGTCCTCTTTACTAACTAGAGAAACAAATACCTATAGGCTCTGTGGGAGAAAAGAAGAAAGATCATGGAAACACTAGGGTATACATGGAATTAGTGACCAGTATCATATGCATCACCACCACCAGATTTCTTTGTTTCTGGTTCTATTTCACTTCTATATGCCATATGGGCCTTTGAGGAGGTAAATGGAGACATGATGTTCCTGGGCTAAGTCACCAGGGAATGACCAGTCACACCCTGGACCAAAATGTTCATAGTGATCACCAGAGAATTTGGACAACAGCATCCTTAATTCTACTGTATTGTAGGCTGAAACCAAGAGAGTGAAACGTTTTTGTCTTCCTGAACACGGATTAGGAAACTTCCTATTTGTCCTGTGGGGATGTCTAAGTCTCAACACAGGAGAAGGAGCAGTTGCATAGACTTTAGCCTCTGGTTTAGAGCTAAAGTTGTAACAAAAATGTGATAACCTACTCTGCAGTTCAGTTGTGGTTTCCAGACACTTCTGTAACTGTGAGTAATGGTTACAGATGACTTTCAATTGCCATGTTTCCTGAGCACTAATTTCTTAAAAGATTATGCTATAACTAGTATTTTTGTGTCCAAAAGTTGCTCTGAGGCTATGTTTTCTGAAAGATTGTCCATATTTCATAAATTGATTATTGGTCATTCTTCTTGGTAAGAATTATCTATCAGCTGCCAACCAGGCAGCAGAGATTATTTACTAGTAGTGATAGGTCCAGTCACTTAATTTTTCTGTCTATGCTCTGGAAATCATTTTAGCTAGGTTGTGACAGGCAGTAGAAACCAGCAGACCCCAAAGGGCCTGCTGAGCTTTGAGGATGCACTCCTTGCTAAGCAATGTCACAACATCAGATAAGGGGTTTGTGTGGCAGGTTTAACACTATCCAACCATCAGGTTGCCACAGCATGTAGCTTTCCTTATAGATCAGTACGCATCAGTGTGTAGTACAAATTACCCCTCTTTTAACAGTGAAAACAAATGTTTGTAGAGCATGTTTGTCAGAATACTTTGAACTATATTGATGAAATTAATTAAGTAGGATAAAATCAAATCATTTCACTACAATTGGTTATCTAATTTTTGAAGGTTTATTCTTTTCTTTTAGGGCTTCTGACATTTTGAGGCATGGAAAAAATATAAAAATATGAGCAGTACTGGTAACCCTCCCTCCCCCATGAAATTTCAAAAACCCAAGGTTTATGATTAGTTTTCAAAAGTTCACAGTTAAGCTACTGGAAATTCAGAGGCCTGGGGCATTATCTGAGCCTGGTAGTGGGGAGTCGCTCTTCACAAGTAGAGCCCTGGGTTGGAGGGAGGCAGCCCCAGCAGGAGCCCAGAGGACATGGCTGACCAGAGCCTTGCTGCATCACTTCTGGCCATTGACTGTCATCTCCATAGAGATTTTCTAAGATTTCTCAGGCTCCTTTGAGTGGCAGCAGTTGTTTGGGTTTCACATGTAAGGTTGCAGGAAAAGGAACCAAGCTGATTTTGGGCACTGAAGTGGAAAAACAAAACAAGCTTTTTAATCATAAAAATGGATCCCTCCTGTGACTGCAAGTAGTATTGCATTGCCTGCACTCTGCTGTGTGGTCCCCTGTGGGATGCACCAGTGGGACCCAGGGCAGCAGGAGTACTGATGTTCCACCACAGGGATGGGCATCCCCAGCAGTACTCACCAGCCAGCTTCTCTTTGGGGCCACGTATGGCACTTCTAGGGTCCAGAAGAACATCTGCACTGTATCACATTGGCCCCTTGCAAAGAAGCCACCAGCACTTGACAGGGGACAGGAATTTCTCCAGGAGTGATAGGAGTTAATCCAGAAGATTTGTTTCTCAGATGGCCTCTGTTACTCTGCTGGTTAATCCCAACAGGAAGCATATTACCTGCCTTACAGTCTCTGTCCCAAACAGCTGGGATGAAAAAAATATGTTCATCCCTCTTCATTTTTTTTTTAATTGCTCCTTAATAAAGATGCCGTGCCAGCCTCAGCTTTTGCTGTGTTCAATATTTTTGATTTTTCTATGAAGCAGTACAACATTGGTGAAGATTCTGGTTTTGGGCAAACTGCTCAAGGCCTCTCTCTAGCAGCAGGGAGGCTCTGGCTCCCTCTCTGTGATGTGTGTGTGTGTTGGTGTAGGGCAACTGCAGTATGCACTGTCCTGCAGGCAAATGCGCTGCCAGGGCAGGCAGAGCAGTTTATCCCAAGCCCCTCTGGCCTCTTCTTTAAATGGTTTTAGGAACAAATCTCCTTTTAATCATCTTTGTAAGCTATTGTTGCAATTACGTAGGATCTCCAGGCCGTATGATGGTCATGTGTGCCGATCACCACCCCGGCACTTTTCTAATCACAAGTAATAGATGGATCTACCTCCTTGGGATCAGAGTGGTGCTGTCAGCTCTGCCCTGAGCACTGCCTGTGTGAAGGACCATGTGACAGTGACTTGGACCTACTCTTGTCATTTGTTGAAAGCAAGGAGCATTTCTCCTTCCCCTTGAAGGGAAGGAGGGGAGAGAATGGGAAGGCTGGAAGGAGAGCCATGTTTTTTCATGTTTTTCATGGCAGAAAATAATTCAGACTGAAAACAACACATCTGCTTCCTCATACTTTACCCTTAGTTCAGAGTTAGAGAAAAATGAGGGTCTTGATCGAACATCAAAGTATTTTGCATTATACAGTGCAGGGCTGTTACAAATAATGAAAAGAATATCTGTTAACCAATTGGAAAGTAAGAATTTCAATGCTTTTATTTACCATCTAGTATCTGGACAGTCCAAGGAATCACTTATATGACGAGAAATATTTTCAGAAATAACATCACCAAGGATGTTTTCTGGCCTGATGCCTGCAAGTCTTGTAGAGCAACATGTGGCTGGTGTTGCCAGCCCAGAGAGGGCATGCAAACTCATCGTCTTTTCAAGGTTTCTTCTTCTGATACCGAAAGCCTCTCTGAAGCAGAGCCTGATATACACATAAGCCCACGGATAAGCACAAATTAGAGCTGTGGACAAGTACCAGTGCACCCTGCCTGCCCGTGCAAGCCTTCTCCTTCCAGTGCAAGAACAGATATGAAAAAGTTGCAGTTTTATACTTGTGTGCAGGCAGTTCTAGAGCAAACAAAATGGCACAGAGAATCATGG